CTTTGAATAGATTTTAATTTTTTCTTTGTTAGCTTAGTTGTGAGGTAATAAAAAAAAATATTTCAATGTGCAAGTCCTTTTTGTCTTTATTATAGACTAAAGATAAAGACTAAAGACAGTCGAATATCTACTGATAAATAGCAGTTGTCTTTACAACCGTACTAATAAGATTCTATTCTGAAGAAAATGAAACGTGATCTTGGATTACCTTAGATTTAATTTTTTTCTTCGTCAGCTTACTTGTAAGGTAAAAAATAAATATTTAAATATGCAAGTCCTTTTTGTCTTTATTATAGACTAAAGACTAAAGATAGCCGAATATATACTGGTAATAAACAGTTGTCTTTACAACCGTACTAATAAGATTCTATTTTGATTAAAATGAAACGTGATCTTGGATTACCTTAGATTTTAATTTTTTCTTCGTTAGCTTAGTTGTGAGATAAAAAAAAAATTCAATGTCCAAGTCCCTTTTTGTCTTTATTATAGACTAAAGACAGCCGATGAGCCTTTGCTCGCCCACCTGTCCTGGTGAAACTGGAAAGGCCTTCGGGCCACCAGTAAACTTTCAATCATAAAAAAAAAAAATATCTACTGGTAAGTAACAGTTGTCTTTACAACCGTACTAATAAGATTCTATTTTGATTAAAATGAAACGTGGTCTTGGATTACCTTAGATTTTAATTTTTTCTTCGTCAGCTTAACTGTGTGGTAAAAAATAATAATTTCAATATGCAAGTCCTTTTTGTCTTTATTATAGACTAAAGACAGCAGAATATCTACTGGTAAACAACAGTTGTCTTTACAACCGTACTAATAAGATTCTATTTTGAATAAAATAAAACGTGATCTTGGATTACCAATATTTCTTATTATAACATTGTCCAAACAGGCAACGACTACGCCATTGCACATAAATAAAATGCATATCTATATAAATAACAACACAAATATATTTATATATTTTATTTAATTCTGAATGTATGTAATATAATGTATATAATATTTAGTTTGATATTTACAATAATAACGGGATAGTTTGAACTACATTTTTTTTTTTCATCGTTATATTTTCTAAATATAAATAAATGATACGATACACAACCGATTTCTATGATAATACGTATATCACTTTCATTATTGGTGTAAATAATGAGTAATAATTCCAATGGAACGAAATAAATGGAAAAGACAAAAAGAAATGTGTATAAAATACAAAAAAAATGTTCTACTGCTGTTTATTGTTCAAATATGTACTTAATTTTAATTATTCTTATCAATTTATAAATATTCTTTGGTATACATCCATATAATATATGCTATAATATATGTGTTTCGTTGAATGATGAAAAAAATTGGTTTGTTTTCTATATAGCAGAGTATTTAGTATATAAATAAATTTCTACATACATAGTTAAATATAATAGGCATTAGGATTTTGAGGTATGTTGAGGTTCAGAATTCAACAATAACAAAGTCGTGACATAAAAATTAAACATTAATTAATTAAATGAAAAATAAAAGACGCGTATTTATTGCCATTTTGCCGTTAACTTTGAAGTACAGTCTGCATATTCAAGAAGTGAAAAAAGGTTATTTAAAAAAATTACTAAAAAATCTACGAAAAATTTCTAACATCAAAACGAGGACGGCTAAAATATTGTGTAAAAAAATCGATAAAATAATATCGATTACTGACATATTCAGGTGTTTGACCTTTTTGGTGTTCGTAAATGAGCAAATGACAAAATATCTAACTATTTATTTTCAAAATCGGGGTTTCTCTGTATATTGGCGTTCGTTTCCTGTAATATTGCAATTTGGCACAATATAATCTATTCAATATATATTATATTATAATTAAATACTAATTAATTATAGATTCTTTTAAACATAAACTACAATAGAATGAAATATCGATAAATACCATCATACATCTCTAATATTCAACATTTAACATTCATAAAAGCTGTAATATATATATATTCTATGCGTGTAAATATATTTTAGGAATATATTATACTATTTTATATATAGTATCAATGAATACTATATTAATAATAATAATTTATTTACGGGAAATAAAAATGAAAGAAAAATAAAACTTGATGCATTTACTTTATGTATCATTTGCTTATCACAAAAAAAAAAAATTAACGTCATACAATTGTGGTTGGAACAAGCTAAGTCGGTCATTAAAAACATCCTTAGGAAGACATTGAAACAAACAAAAGGTATTTTAATTAATTAAAATAGTTTTATTGTACAAACAAAGACGAAATAAAATGAAAACATTAAAATTTACATTTTGATTCACATCCAGAAGTCTCTATAATAAATAATAGTATTTAGTTTAAATGTAACGTGTATTTATGAAAACAATTTTCGTTTAGCTTACGTTGTTAGACGGTAAGCGATTTAAGCCTGGGCGCATATTGTGTGCGCCTGTCCGGCGAGTTTCCGGACGCGCCGATAACTAAAACTTATTCATTAATTTCGGCAACTTGGCGACGTATTCTAACCCATCCAACACTTGTGTTGGTAAGAGATCGAGAAACTTTTAACGCACAATATGCGCTCAGACTTAAACGTTACGTTCCCTGGTGACGACGTATCCAGGACACCAGGAGATCGATCCCGAAGTCGAAAGAAGAAAAACTACTACAATAAACATAAACACTTTTTATTTTTATTCATAAGTTCAGGTAGGAACTCTTGTGAGTGCGCGTGCGTAGGTACCATCATCCTGCCCATTTCTGCCGTGAAGCAGTAAAGCGTTTCGATTTTAAGGATGGGGGCAGCCGTTATAACTATACTTGAGACCTTAGAACTTATATCTCATCTCAAGGTGGGTGGCGCATTTACGTTTTAGATGTCTATTGGCTCCAGTAACCACTTAACACCAGGTGGGCTGTGAGCTCGTCCACCCATCTAAGCAATAAAAAAAAAACATAATTTTTAGTCTAGACAAGATCGGAGCCCGCGTACTCATAGCGTCTGTTAATTTTTAATTACATTACATCGCACGTACGAGTGTGAAGCATTCTCACTATCTAATACTTCGGCGCGCAATGTAACGCAGTTAAAAACAGCTGACGTTCGGGTTCCACGAACTCGTGTGACGCAACTAACTACCTTCACTTTTATTGCGGCCAATGAAATATGAAGTATTTATGTTTAGTTTAGCGTATAAGATTATATATTATTGCAAAAAAAGGTTTTGCGACAAATTCGTTTTGTATTGTTTTATGGAGTTTTATAACTCATGACTTTATACAGTTTTATTTCAAGTATTTTATACATACATAGTAATATAAATTGTATCATTTAATGTGAATTTTACATATTTCGACTTCGAGACGGAAAAATGTGCATTATTCGACTAATAACAAATTTTACTATAATGCATTTTCATTACAAAATTGAAACGTGCAAATTCAACTTAGTCCGTTTCACGAAAAAAATAATCGACAAAGAATGTACATTAATAAAGACATACAGTGACGTCATATAACCTCCAAAACTAATTTTGAGCAAACCGTTGCAGTAATCGAAGAGAAATCTTGCATTTTTTTCTTTCTTTCAATATTACGCCATTTTGTGACCATAACTTTATTCACAGTACAAGCAAAATCAACTTTGGAAGCTCATAATAATTAACGAACAATATCGCGACTAACACACATGTGTAACATAACCGTTTACAACACGTTTCATTTATATCCAAATACAACATTCCACGCGTGGTCACCCTTACGTTTAGTAAACCACTACATCTAGACCCACACTCTAATATATATTGAATGCGTTCGAGAGCCAACGGATTCTGGTCGTTATCAGAATAACATCGTTTTGATATGTTTTATGTACTATATGTCGTAATAGGCGAAACTCTATGTCATAAGATGGTTTCAATAATTTATTTCTAGTTACTTATACGATAATATATATATATACAATGCGTTTAAGACACCAATAATTTGGTAACATGTCTTTAGTACCTAAGAGATTATAGATTGAGGCCGTAATGTTTAATTTTATTGAAGAAAATCACAAACGAGTTTTCTTCGCGAAACAATTCAGACAGAGATAAATTTTTAAAGCACATTTCTGTTACATTCAAATAAATTTTTTTAGAAAATTTATTTAGAAAAACTCTCAAATACTTCGATAGAGATCAAAATGAACAGACGTTCATGTAAAACGAATCACTAGTAAATACGATGCGAAGTTCAAAATCTCAATGTCAGGCCGTAACAATATTTAGCTGCCGTTAAAAAAAAAAAAAAAACTAAATGCTGACGTAACGAAAGAGACACATACACACACAAACACAGGAACACACATGTACACGAAACAAAAATATACACACAAACAAACATCACTACGATAAATAACAGCCCGCCCCTAACAATTATTTTACTAATCAATAGTGAAATTTATAATTTCATCTAATATCATCGGATCGAGAGAAGCAGAGTCGCCGGTCAATACCGACCGCTCGTAGCCAGTTATAACCGGTTTTAACGGACCGAAACCGGTGTTGGTCGGTTTTCAGTAAAGTTACAATTAATTTTACGAGTAATTTAACGTAACGTAATTTACAATCAATATTCGAAATGAAGCGCGGAAATCCTTGGAGATAATCACTGCGTTTAGGAAGACCTAATGTATTAATTTTTTTTCAGTTTTTTTTTTTAACGAAGTTCCTTATGTTACGATGCGGAGGGGTACACTAACCGGGAAAAACGTCCGTAACGTAAGATCTTTATTAGTAATGCACACATGCAAGTGTAGGTCTTAACTTTGTAATAACGTACAAAAAATAACATAATATTTTTTTATCATTCATTGACCACGATCTCAGAGCGTTCGTTTGCCCGATACACTAACTCTTATGCAAACAACCGTGAATGAAGTGTACCACAATAAGTTCGCACGTTACCGAATGACCGTGGGTTGTTGCGAAACCTCTAATTTAATTTTCTTTATACCTCGCATAGAACTTTAATAATTTTATAATAAAGAACTTCGTTCCTATCCGGTGTCCCACGACACCGCACATCTTTTTTTTTTTTTTAAATAAATGTTGAAAGTTTGGTTACCGCGTTTTCACAGTTCTTCGGTCGAAGCTATAGGCGCTTTGAGTAATGGCGTCCTCGGACTCCGCGACCCGTCCGCGCTCCTAGACGCGGCCTGGAAGTCTTCGTTGGAGAGTGACGCGGGTAAGGCGGCCACCTTCAGCTGGTGACCGTTCAGCTTGATCTCGGTTATCGAGTGCGATCGACCGTGGTTCAGATTCTGCTTCTCCTTGTTGCTCGTCGTCACAGGATCGTGTGTGGGGGTTTTCGCCAGGGACTGGGTCACTTTGGTGCGATTTGACTGCTCCCTCAGCGCCATCTGGTAGGCCACCTCGAAGGCTTCGCCCAAAGTCAGTATGACTTCGGTAGCTTGGTCCTGAAACACCGAAATCGTTTATTGCATTTTCGATTATCGAAAATCATAATGATTACCCAAATTCTGAACTAAATATTAAAATTCCAAATATGTATTTCAATTTGTCTTATAAATCGATCGAAGACCGGCTGCACGCACGAAAAAGTGTCACGTTCCGCCCGAGCCTGAGCGTGCAAGCGAGAGCGCGGAACAAGCGATAGAGAGGCACGATCGGCCCAAGCGTTGTGATACATTTACCTCTCTTCTCGCGTGACGTCAGAGCTAGCAGTTGGAATAATTTGGCTAGTGACGTTATCACGTTAAACTATCGTCCGCTAACCGACCTTACAAAAAGCAAATTTATATTTTTATTTATATTATAGGCACGGACATACGGCCTGTTTAGGGCAATCCTGAGCATAAAATTATATATGATTATTTTTTAATGTGGGAACACACTAATAAGAATGGCAACATAGTTAGTGGGAGTTACAAAAAAATGTTGGTCGTACGTGTTGTACATCAAAAAATTAAAATCCTTCGCTCTGAATCTAGTTTTTATTGAAGCTCGCACCAAAATACAGACCACGCTCTAAGCACAGCCCACCTAATCGTATGCGGCTAACATCGGGCATGGACGTCAGTGGAACGGCTGAGCTATTACTTAAAATTGATAAACTTTCAATTCTTTTTATACGTCTTTACATATTAGCCAGACGTGACTCACCATTGTAGCCACTCTGAACACGTGACAGTAATGACTTCTCGTTGTGTGATCCTTAGTTATGTACGCGAAGTGAGTGAGGTCGTCGGCGTCCTGACAGGCGCAGTGAATATTCCTGATTTCGTGTTCACAGATCAGCTCCTAATGAAAAACGAGGCAGTTAAGGAAATGCATTTAATGTAATAAACTAATTTGAGTTCAGAAGATTTAAAAAAAATATCATACGTGTTACTATAAGTTTTGAATGGAAACCAAATCGGCCTTATCATATTGATGGCCCAGTAAAATGAGTCCTTTTTCAAAGATATTTGAAATTTAAACAATATCTAATATATTGGTTAAACTATTAGAATTGAATGCTCCAAAGATGAATTCTACTTCTACTAATCTTCTATTATTCTAATTATACTTCGATTAATCTCTTTATGGTCAACTCGTAACGTGATATTGTAATCTGCTTGCTAGTGGTGAAAGCGTTTTAATAACTGAATGTTCACTTGCCAAATGCTTAGAAAGACACGTACTCGTAAGAGTAAATTATGATTATTAAAAAAAAACATTGCGTTTATAATTGACCCAAGCTCCATGATTTTCCAAAACAAAGTATACTAAAAAAGAATATTAATTAAAAAAGAATTTCAAAAAAACTTGAATGTATCAAGCCAAGCGTCTGTTTTATTAAATATTCATCAAACGAAAAATTAATCCCGAAATTAACGTAAATTTAGGAAGAAAAAATAAAACAATATTTACATACACTAATTACCCTACCCGACTAACCGTGAACACTTCAAAATACAAAAATAAGGGTTCGCAGAAAGAAGAAAAAAAAAAGCAATCCTTTTTCGGTGAGACACACAAAAGGTTTGACCGCTCGATCAAGGGTGAACTATAGATAATTAAAAATCAAGCTAAAGCTTCTGGAGCCCTTTGTCTCGGGTATGAAGGGCTCGCCTGTCACACTCCGGTGATCATCAAAAACTTTCAAGCGTGACCCTTGAACCTGTAGTTTCTGACTAGACGAGCAATTACACTATGATACCAAATATTACATCGTTGACGGCGAAAGGGTTAAAAGTCAATGGTTGCTTAAATTTTCTAGTGTTATTAATTTTCTAGTCGTTTATAAGAACTGTGAAATCTCTCGCAATGAAGGAATGTTTACACTGATTAGGATACAGACAGCTTTGATATGTGCCGTCACTATGTGAAAAATTCCATATTTTCGCAACCACTTATGTACTTGTGTATCGGAAATATTACATAATTCAAGGAAGAAAGCGTTGGAGATGTAACTATAAATTTGTCTCTTCAATACATAATCACTAAAGGTGAAAACAGCAAATATAAAGTATACATTTATATAGTAATAACCACGAACATTGTTCGAGTGATCGAGACGTTAGTAGAAATAGAGTGATGAAAAAATACAAACGAATAAAAAACTACTTTATGTTTAATATGAATTTGGTTGAAATTTATTTGTTGAGATATAAAGAGAATTTTTTTAATCCTACAATAATAATTCTATGCTAACAAAGAGACAATTACAATATAAAATTTAATAACACTGAATAAGGTAACAAAATATCCTTGTAAAATTAATTTTCATATAGACTACAAGGACAATAATGTCCTTCTAATTAATAGCAACAAAAAAGGACCTCAAATTAGGCAACCCCTTAAATGACACCTGAAGTTAAATTAAGAAATGTAAAGTTAATTTCCAGAACTTCAGTCAGTTAGGTAAGAGAGAGTTATCACTACATAATATAAAACAAAGTCCATTTCTCTGTCCCTATAGATATGTATAATAACATCCATTAAATAGTGGAGAAATCAATAATAAATTACAGTTTCCGAAGCGAAGCGAGGGTGGGTCGCTAGTGAAGTATGAAGAGGTATGAAAATTCTTGACCATTAACGTGTCTTCTATGAATGACTTAGTGAATTTTAAATAAGTAAACTATTAAACATGAATTAATAGACAATTCACTCACCCTGGTAATCGTATTTAGGAACTTGACCCCTCTATAACTGATAGAGAGGATGATATCGGGAGAGTCTTTTGGTTCTTTGGTCGTTTTCTTTAGCTTCTGTATCGATTTCTTCGTGGATTCCGTCCCTCGTAGCTCTTTGACCACCGTCGATCCTAGATACTGTAGTTAAAGAAAGATATTCTTCTAATTTTTTGGGCAGTACGAATTGGTAGCCGTTATATCTTGTTATTAATTCCCAAAATCTTATACATTAGGTGAGCATATTGAGAGTCCATACCGCAACCCATATTTCGATAGATTCTTAATAATCATGTACGTAGTACGACCGTACCAGATTAGAATGCATTTTTTCTAGCAGAAAATCTGGAATCTTCTAGTAGATTTTTTCATACTGTCTACTGTGTAGTGGTCAGAACAGTAGAACATTATTAAAAAATCTACTATAAAAAAGTGTAAAGTAATAAATTAATCAAAATTATTTGCAACTAATTGAAATCATGTGTAAATGAGATCAAAATACTAGATCAGATTTTAATAATAAAAGCCTTTCTGGATCATATTCACAATACACAAATATTCGACCCCCTCCCCCTTTTCCCCGATTCCTACTACTTCCCATCGTAATAAATATCCAGTAGTCTCCAAACTTTCTAATTCCTAACCTCATAGTTTCTACCTTCAATGCTGGTAGTAGGGTGCCCATCCTGCATGGATTAATTCTGTGGAGTTTATTTGGTCGGACAAATCGTTATAACAATTTAACTGATTCTTTAATCTTTTAACTCAGGATAGGCCGTGAATTTGTAAATTTATGTCTATGGGATTTTACCACCATTTTGCCACCAGAGCAGGCCTGCACGAGTAGATACCACCACCACCGTGTCGGTTTGAAAGACGCGGTAGCAGTTGTTCTATAAAATCTGAGACTTAGAATTCATGTTTTATAGTGGATAGCAGCATTTACGTTGTTGATGTCTATGGGTTGCAGTAACCACTTAAGACCAAGTGAGCCGTGAGTTCGTCCACCAATATAATGTCGTTGTCAAACCAAAATCTGCTATGTGCACTTTTTGAGATTTTTACTTTTTGACCTTTTCGTATAGTTCACAGCCATATCTACCGTATAAAAAAAACTGTTATGTGCTTACACGTTAATTCAAAATAGAGTTTTTGCACATAACAGATTTTGGTTTGACAGCGACGTTAAGCAATAAAAAAGTGACTTTGATTACTAATAAAATAGAACGTTATGGTATCATTAATCCTGAATAGATAAGAAAAGATCTAAAAGTGAGCTTTTGTCTTAATATTGATGTCTACTCACATTAGCTACATAAGTCACAGCTCCGGTTACCAGCACAAACGGCTGATGTTTCCATTGAGTCTTCAAAGCTCCTGGAACCCCGACCAGCAGCTCCGAAGGTGCCCTGATCTCCAGGTCTGAAGGTCGCGGAGGTTGTGGAGCCGGTCTGTTTTTCTTACTCCGCTTTAAGGTCTCGCCCCCGGGCGGAGCTAGCGTTGGTACCACGGGAGGGGGAACTGGTTTCAGATTATCCGAAGGCAGCTTCTCTTTTATTTCCTCTTTTAATTGTTGTATATTATTTTTCTGTAATAAAAAACTACTTTCAGATATTTCTACAAAAAGATGAGAAAGGTGGGTATTCGTAAATCTCAGATTCCCAATCTTAGCTGAAACAACCAATGAAGTAGGAAACCTATGGAAATGAAACGTCAACCAAAATTTCGTGCCACTGTGACGTCATCTGGCCACAAAACATGGCGGCTTTAGTGCTGTACAAAAGATTTCAATGTTATCAGGTTTTATCGATAAACGTTCTTGGCTCATTTTATTTTAAATATTGTTGAGTATTATTTATTTGTAGAATTTATACTTTAATGGGAAGTAAGTAGGTATATTGTTATGTGCAAATATGATATGATTTAGATGGGTGAAATCTAAGACAAGTTCGTCCTTCGAATTTGCCAAGTAAACGATATGATGATTTTTAAAAGTTGCTACACTGATTTTATAAAGTTGTCGTTTGTCGCAAAACATAAAGATATGGCGTAGTTCAAAGCCATCAGCCCATTTCTAGCATGCTAAATGTTATCGTATTTTGAGTACGTGTTTTTCTTAGACTATTACAATCTATTTTAATTGTTTTGCTGACTCTAAAGTCCGTAACATACTACCGCAGCGCACCCCAAGGAAGGTGCGCCGCACCATTTGAATCACTTTCGCTTGAGAGTGATTCAAATTTTAAACTTATCAAGGGACCGCGTGAAAAAAAAAACACCTACAGAACATTTATTCATTAATTACAAACGTCATTCCTTGTGACTTCCTCTCTAAAATCACTTAATTATTAAATATTTAACAAATTTACAATAGTGTTTTACTCACTGCGGAATAAAACTATTTTATTTAAATAGTTCCGAAGAGATTTTGTCGGTAGCCTTTTTCCCGAAATATCTAAACAGAATGTCTAAATATGTTTTGATGACATATTTTAAAGTGGTATTTATGATTAGTGTCATGATCAATAGATTCCGACCGAAAAATGGATTTTTCGGATGAGGGCTCCATAATGAATTTAAATACATATAGATAATAGTTTTAGGGCATCGACTTTCTTGAGATCCTATAAAATACGTTTTAATTATTATTTTTGTATGTTTTAAGCATGATAAATTATGAAATTTTATATAATCAATCATATTAAATCGATATCAAAGTCAATAAATAATGTACAACCCAAAACAGACGGCCGAACTGACGTGACAATGACATTTGGCGCGCTAAACATGGCGGATTTTCGGCCTCATTAGACGGAGACGGAGATATTTACGTATATTCATGTTTCATTTTATGTACGCACTGAAATACTGTTATATTGTTTTCCTGCGAGTTAAAGTGCTGAGTAAGAACGAGATAGATATATGTTTATGTATGTGCCTTCAAAATGGGTGCTATTTATATAAGCAATTGTACGTATAGAACAATATGTCGTGTCCCTACTATATAGGTCTATGGAAACAACTAATAAACCAATCAAAACGCAGATATATAGGTACAATCGTAAAATAATTATAAAAAGATACTAATATATAAAGATATCAAGATACAAATCAAAACAGATACTCATCAAACGAGCCCTAATTAATACGAAAGGGTTAGGATAACAAAGGAAGCAGTGGTGGTAACAAAACGTAAAATGGCACTCCAATACAGATTCACGCTTCCGAGGTGCAAAACAAGTGACGGAGTAAACATAAAAATAAAAAAAACATCGTACCTATTCGAAAAAGCGTAAAATTTTAATTAACGCACTAAAGAAAATGATGTACGCGCACAAAGGGATGAAAATAATTGAATGGTATGAACCATCTAATTTGACGACTGATAAAAACGCGTATTCAGGCTTTAGTGACTAGCGTAATGCTGTCGGTATAGGGTTCAGATGTTGAAGGGATGGGAAGTAATGGACCTCCGACTTACGTGAACAAACTTTAGATATACGAAATGAAAATTTCATTGCTAAATTCTGTTGTAGTGCACAAGTTATTTTAATCAAAAATACATTATCGTCATTATCTTTTGAGCGATCTGCAATGATGTTACGATAGTTTGTTTTTTTGGGTTAATAATATAGTATTAATGTGCGTACATTTTAATTATTTTTCTTTGAGATTCGATTCCAGGTTGGAGTTCCTACCTGTTAATGATATTAGGAAGTAGGAATTAACGTGGAAATTTTCTTATCTTATATGTTTTCCAATACCTTGAATACAGGAGAAATCTGAACTCAAGACCCAAAAATGTGCAGTTTTTTAGTGTCACTGTCAGTAGACAAGGATATCGTTCACTTAACACTATTCACACCTAATCACCGTTGCTTAATCACTAACGTCAATGATTACACTCTCTTCCAAAATAATCGATACTAAGATTGCCTATCTGCATTCCAAAATTCTAAAGCAATATAATACATAAAATATTATTAATATGATAGAAATACATTACGTACATAAAATACAGAAAATTTTACTGTAATAAATTTCCGTTTTCACTATAAACCACTAGTACGTAGAGTGCCTCACTCGTTTGATGAATAGAAACCGTTGAATAGACCTCGAATTGAACGCTAATTACCTATACGAGCCTACCGAGGTGTGGAATTAAAAAAAAGGCACCTACAGCATTCAACGATGTATGCTTATGTTTGTCTAGCTTTATAGATGTTATTACATTAAACATGGTACCGTATCTTTGAGAGTACATTTCGAAAATTAAAATTGGAGATTGATTTGGGAGAAACGGGTTAATTTAAGAAAAGTAGTATTGCCACATACCATATGACCATATATCACAACGGCTGAATAATGATTGCTCAAAAAATGTTATTAGGTCATAATACTACAGTGAAAGCCTTGTATAATATTTTCTTGCTAATTGATAGCAGTTAAAATTTAAAAAAAAACGGCAATTAATTCTACCATTCTGTACACTAAAAATTACACTTTAATTTTAGATAATAATATTAATAATTTAAGACGGACCATAAACCGTTTATATTTGTGGAATATTTACGAGTAAAAAAAAAAAATGAACGTATGTATTTTCTCAAGCACCCAATTATTTTAAACATGTGACAATTTTAAGGCAATCATTCCGCGCCAACCGTCTCATCTCGAAAGATTATTACCAAAGTCTACGGGCGAGATTAAAACAGGTAATCCTCGTTAACTGCTCATCTCGTTAATTAACATCATGCACGTGCGCCGGGGGTGTAGCCAGGCAACTCCCCCGGCGTTAAAAATAGGGATCAGAAGTGTGAAACGTGTGCCATTTTAAATTGATACCGTTTGACAGTTTTTGATTACATTCGAATTTAGTTACTGCTTATATTAGATTTTTAAATGACGTCACATTGAATGTACTCGTAGTGCAAGTGTCGCGGGCAGTTTTTTAATTACTAGAGGTCCCGCAGTAGTCGAAATTCGCCTATAATTAATTGGAATTGTAAGTTTGTACACTATATTATGATTGTATTTTATACTTCTATAATCACAAATTTCGCCAAGACTACACTATGAAAAATATTAACAAAGACAAACAATATTTAATCTGTTCTCAATTTGACAACAGACATCAAGAACAAAAGTTTGACAATAAATAGTATGCACGCATGTGTGCGTCGAATACATTTTATGTAGTGTGTGTAATGTTTTCTTTATTGATTTAATGTATCTTATATGCATTATTTAAAAAAAATATTAGCATTGTGCAGTTCTTCTCTATATTCTCTATAAGTGTGGAAAATTTCATACTTCTCCGTCGGCGCAATTTTCGTAAAAAGGGATACAAAGTTTTTGCTTCACGTATTAATATACAGATTTGCATCACCATTTGTTTTTTTTTGTGAACAATTTCTGTACGTGAAATTTTTTGTTTTTTTTTCTTGAACTCACAATAAATAGTACTATCATTTGCACTATCATTTCTACTGCAATACTGTACTAGAGACGGTCACATTAAGGACGCATATAAACTAGAATTAGCGTATAGATTTTTTTTTGTTAGTAGGTGAAAACAATAACCTGTATGCATCTAGTAGATTCCAAACGGTAATTTCCAAATATTTTTGCATTAAATCATTATAAATTTTTTGAAATTTTTATGGCATAGGTGAGTGAATTCGCGACACCCTTGAAGAATGATTTTTATTAGTTAGTCACGTATTTTCTTTCTGTTATAATTCTATGACTCAACTTTTCACGTCTAGATGTATCTTTTAAAGTCGCACTGAAGTAATTTTAAACGTCACGAGTGATATGTTTTAGGTAAAAAAATCGATCATTCATTTAAAATTGATTGAAATTATCGAAATGAATATTTCACATTCAAGTAACTGTTCTTTAGAAAAAATTAAATCGGCCTATCGATCGAATGACCTATGTTTGAAAATGAAAAAAAAAACGCAATAATACAATTAGACAAATAATTCAGCTAATAGCGGAATAAGTGTTTAAGCTACATCTATTACATTTGGTATAAATCAACACATTTTATTTTTTTATTTTTTTATTGCCTTTGTAGGCAGACGATCATACGGCCCACCTGATGGTGAGTGGTTACCGTCGCCCATGGACTTCAGCAATGCCAAGGGCAGAGCCAAGCCGCTGCCTACCGCTTAATACTCTCCACAAGCCTCGTTTGAAGAAGGACATGTCATAGCGCTCGGGAAACACCGTGGAGGGGTATTCTATTATAGGGTATTCATTCCATAGCCGGATGGTACGTGGCAAAAAAGATCTCTGGAAACGCACTGTGGATGACCGCAGTGGCTCCAGGTAGTATGGATGAACTTTACTCCGGTGGCGGGCGGTGCGATGGTAAAAACGAGACGTTGGTATCATCTCGAACAATTCCTCAGAGCACTCCCCATACATGCAATATTATTGTAATATATATAAAAACGATGTCTGATAGAGTCCATATTATTATACCCTTTCTTAATTCACATTCATACAAATTGAACTAAAGTAAATGGAAGTTTAAAAGCTCTCATATTAAAATATACTTTACGTACTTGAGAAACACGGATAATTAAGTATTTAATAGTCACAAGTGATTCAAGATAAAAACAAAAATAACTAAATTATGAAGATGGAATTTTGAGTAGCGCAAAATAATTTCCAAAGTCATAAAATTTAAATTCAGCGAACGTCCACAGCGATGTGGTATTACGAAATGTTGCAATTCGAATTCCATTGACGTACAGATTTGTTTATGTGGGATCGTTAAAAAAAAAAAAACTTGGTCTATTAATTTCAATACAATGGTCTTGGTAGCTCGCGATGGTTCTATGGAATGTTTTATTTAGTACAACTGACTGTTAGCATTGGCATGCAAGCTAGAATCACCCAGTACAGTAAAGCGTTTCAGTCATTGATAGATATTAAGTGGATGTAACAAATAACCAGATATGTTGTTAACAACAGTTGTTCTAAGTTTCAAAATGGCCTGCCCATCTTCACTGCTATTTCTTTTCGTCATTTTCGTGTCTAGTTTGTTGACTGTTCTCTCATCAGCTGCTACCTCTTCAGGTCTCTCTATCTTCAGTAGCCCCAAGGGCTTCAGGTACAGGGAATGCTACCAGTTTTAACCAAGGGATAAATGATGGACCATTTGGCCTCTTCCCGTCGACATAAACTACTACCATGAGCTTTTCGAGGTTGTCACTGCTATGAATCCTAGCAAAATAAAAATTTATAAAACCTAGCACTCACCAGAGTGTTGAGATCAGCACTGATATCTTCCATATTATTAGCTGGTCCGTTGTGTTGGCCGCTAACCGACGCTAGAATCCTTTTCCTGTGACCAGCCTTCTGAATCTCCAGAACGGCCGTGAGCTCCACCTCCCAAATCCTCTTCACCCTATCCATATCCACGTACAAATGTTTCCTGAACGTCTCGCTGTATTGCTCCAAGTTTATATGCCTTAGCCATTCATCGACTGATTCGTTTTGATTCTTACTAACGTTATTGTTATGGTTATTACTTATTTCAACTATTTTAAGAGGTAATTGTTTGGATGATTCTAATATTTTTTGTCTATCGTTCTCTTCTATTCCCATCTCGCGAAGATCATTCTCGTCTAGGATACCATTCTGCAACGAATATTTAATTTCAGTTTCTATTCAAGAATCAATACATACGATTATCTTGTGAAATATATTCAAAACCAATGAATTAAGGACTTTTTTTGCATTAGATACATAAATAGGTATTTGTAAATATATACTTACAATAAAATCAATGTCGTCATAGCCACTATCAAGGAACAATGTCTCGTAGTCGTGCATCCCAATCCCAGACAACCAGAGTCCGAGACTAGAGGCCATAGATGGACTCAGGCTGGACTCGGAGCAGCTGAGGCCGAGTCTGGATGTAAATTCTTGCTCGAGTTCGGACACAAAGACCGACTCCCGCACCAGTTTGCTGCCAAACGACGCCATTATCTCGGATATCTTCGCCCATTCCTCCTGTAACACAATTTCTCTTTCAGTTTGAATCCCAAACCCCAAGCTTACACCCAATATCAAGTACCTATGATCACCGCAAATACCAAAAAATAGACACTCAATAATCATATTTTAAAATAACTTTATTATCTAGAGCTGCGCAAAGACAGCCCGCAGACAAAATACATTTACTTTTATGCGGGTTCTAAGACCCGATAATACCATACAACACCAGTATCATATTGTTTTCGTACACTGAGAAAGACACCCGCCTAACAAGCGTTTCCATGGTAACAATATCTCGACAAACACTGGTCGAAAACAAACAAAAAAACGTTTTAGTGAGATTTTTACCCTAGTGAGTCCTATATACATACGGGTACATATTATGTCGATTATCGTGCGAAGATCTTACCATTTCGAATTAATATTATTATTAATTATGCTATGTACAATATAATATTCATAAATGAATAAAATAATTTTTTGGCTTAGATGAGTGAACGAGCTCACGGTTCATCATTTAAGTCCACCCATTTAAGTAATGCATAAAAAATTAAGAATATCCCTAGATTTGTTTCGAAAGAAAAATCTTTGGATTAATTGCTCGTCGTCATTTTTTTTCCTTTTTGGAAACTAGTAGGCATTTCCGATAATTTAATAAACGTCAATATAATCTTCAAAATCGTTTACTGTAAGATTCAAACTATCGGGGATCCGATAAGATATCATGTGGAAATAATTTGTTTACTTTTCACAATGATTTTCGAGCAACGCAGTTGTAGAAGCCTAACAAACAGTCCAAAAGACATATTATTATGGAACTAACACTAAAGATATTTCAGATTCGATCCATCTAATAATTGCTATAAGATAAAGAAACCCTTTCTTTGGGATCCTCTTAATTTATCCATGAGTTTAAATTATAAAACTTCTATTTAAGGGATAAATAAGATAAATCATACTTAACAGTTTGAAGGTTAAAATAGCCCTTATTTCAATTGAATTAAGGCCTAGAGATCAGTATCATAAGCGGTAGTATTGATATCGCGTTGTCTAGGAGCTGTAGTTAGTAGCTCCTTAATGTGACGTTAAGGAGAAGATCGACCAATGAACTCGTACGAAGCGATGCGATTATACCGATATTACAATCTAATAGGCAGCTAACAGATTTTCTAGTGAAATACGTACACAATTCATGTTCACGAATAACTTAAACGAAGAAGGAAGCCGTGCGATAAAATTGAAACACGAAATAATTCTAATTTACGTAAATATTTCAAGTTTCAAGGTCAGTGGCAGCATTCACGATTTTAATTTTATGGGTTGCGGTAGCCCCTTAGCACCGTATAGGCAGTGAATTTAGTTAGCCCGTCTACGCAATAAGCCAAAAGAAAGTTATTGCTTAATGTCACGTGCAGACATACCTACTGGCGAGAACAAAGTTTTGTACGTCTTCTTCAACATCCAATCGTCGTATAAAAAGTTAAGACGTTTTAAAATATTTTAACGATTTTTGGTCGCAACAATGTACTGCGTAATGATGAACCAACTGATTTTGATGCATTCACATCTCTAATACAGACAAAAAAAATATTGGGAAACCCAAAAGAAGAAATTAACAATTTTTATGTAATTCAATTATAATCTAAACTGATATATATAATAGGATATTGATCTGGTAGGCGGTAAAAAGATTGTTATTATAGATTGTATATTTTTTCATTAAAAATATACTTTGGTTTTAACTAAATCATTTTGGTATTTTTCTTCTACATCTACAATACATCTACAATGGTTTTTTTTCTAACGGGCTTGGTGGTAATAACAGCCACCTTCGATCAATAATATTATTGATCGAAGCCGGTCACCGTCCTCTTCGCTTGCGACGAAGGGCTCGACGAGTGAATTAACCCATAGATAAAGCCCACTGAGTTTCTTCTTCTCTTCTCAGTGGGTCGCGTTTCCGATCCGGTGGTAGTTTCTGCGAAGCACTGCTCTTGCTAGGGCCAGTGTTAGCAACACTCCCGGTTAGAACCCCGTGAGCTCACCTACATGTCAACGAGAAGCTAAAATAGCCTCTCAAGGCTATCAGCATAAGTAGGAAAATAATAATAATAATAAAAGTCTTGTATAGTAGTCTTGTATGATAAAGGTGCTGTCCTGAACAATATAATTGAACACTCTGAATTTGTTTTCGAATTCTACCAGTGACTAATTGAAACCATGAGATGGACAATTAGTCGGTGTATCGACTTCTGCCAATAAAAATAATATGTAACTAAAACCGCATGAGATAAAGGATGGTAAAAACATGAAACAATCAATTTTGGTGTAATATTACGTCACTTTACAAAATAATATTTATTGAAAGTGCGTCTTCTTTTATGGGAAAAGTACTTAATATTTACGATATTATTCGATTAGTGTAATAAAAATAATTTTTGAGTCGCTGCAAGAACTGCCGAATTCATAGAATCATCTTGTACTTGCAATAAGCATCTGCTTAACTACGTTATTTTTTTCATCGACTTGTTTTCTTTCTTATTTGGGAAACTAACAGTTATATCTCATAGTATAAAAAATGTATCTAAGCAAAAATTAAAGAAATTTCCGTCTTTTTATTTTTTTATTGCATAGATGGGTGGACGAGCTCACAGCCAACCTGGTGTTAAGTGATTACTGGAGCCGATAGACATCTACAACGTAAATGCGCCACCCACCTTGAGATATAAGTTCTAAGGTCTCAAGTATAGTTACAACGGTTGCCCCACCCTTCAAAGCGAAACGCGTTACTGCTTCAAGGCAAAAATTGGCAGGGTGGTGGTCCCTACCCGCGCGGACTCACAAGAGGTCCTACCACCAGTAAAACGACATATGTTGTAGTTTGAGTAGATGTGGAACTAAAACAATTGAAATTAAGGTTTATACGGAATCATTTAACCACTGCTTCCCCGTATCTTATCAATCAATCAATCAATAGATTAAGATTTAAATTATTCACGATAAGATATTATTTTTTATAAAACAATCAAGTGGTCACGTCGAATGGTCATCTTTCAGGATTGTCACTATGAAGGTGTTACTATTGATTTTATTAGGGGCGGTTTCGTTGGCGTCAGCACGTCTGCTTCCATACATGCTGTCCTACCATGATACGGTTGGTATCCCCCTGGCAGAACGTCTCAAGAAATCGGAGCAAGCCCGAGACTTTGATGGATCTAGAATTGTGAATGGAAATCCTGCTCCTTTGGGTGCTCACCCGTACATGGTAAATATTTTCTGCCAATTTATGTATCCCCCGTAAAATTAACCTATAGCTGAAATTTTCTTTTAACACGTTGACTACCATGTAGGACACCGGTGCCCTACGTGGCGCTCTGAAGTAATTACGTCGATTTCTCTCTCCGATCTTCTTACTAAGGCGCCGGAATATCTAGTAGAATCTGGGAAAGACGAATTTGAAGATACTGAGAATCTATTTCTGAGAGATCTTTTTTTTCCCTACCTAAGCTGATAGCCTTGAGAGGCTATTTTAGCGTAACCTTAAGTAGTAGGTGAGCTCACGGGGCTCAAACCTGATGAAGTTGCTAACACGAACCCTAGCAAGAGTCGCGCTTCGCAGAATCTACCGCCGGATCGGAAACGCGACCCACTGAGAAGATCCGGCGAGAAACTCAGTGGGCTGTGTCTGTGGGTTCATTTACTCGTCGAGCCCTTCGTCGCAAGCGACGGGTTCGACGAGAACGATGACCGGTTTCGAAGAGACCTAAAACACTAAAACATACATTGAAAACCAAAGAAGGCAAAGCTAAACAATCCAGGCGCTTAGTAACAGTAATCGACTAATAATTAATTACTTCAGTACGCCGTGTAAGGCACCGGTGACCTACATGGCAGTCAATGGGTTAAACTATGTTCTTTACTACACGATCATTAAAACGTTAGAGGTAACGTCATTGTAACATTTTCAGATTTATAATTGCATTTTCATTGCGTTTTCGTAAAATCATTTTCCCGTTTCTCCATAATCTATGATGTATATTTAATTGTGGTAGATGTGTTGAAAAGTTCGCAGTCGGGTCACATGAGGTTTATATCTCATTTGTAATGCGGCTGTCCTACCGCATTAAAGCTTTGCCGCATAAATTAATAGGATGTTTATACCCAACCCAGCGAATCTTACGCGCGACCACAATCTTACAATATTGGATATTCCAGGTGGTCATAACATTATCGCTCGATGAATTGCTCCATAAACTAATGTTATAACACTATTAGAGCCTCAGCACAAAAAAATAATAATCGATATGCAATAATTTGATTATCAAAGATATTCTTTGTGCGCATTGTATTAGATATAGTTTCGTTTGATTTAATCTATCGCCGATATTTGATTACCTTATTTCCTACTGATTAGTGATGCTAGTAATTTTTTTTTTTTGAGCCAGAGTCCAAATCTCAATTTTCTACTAACCTACCTACTGTGGAACGCGGTACGATTTCATTTCCTGATTCATTTCATTGCATTTTCTGAGTACTTTTGATAGGAGTATCTATCTGTTGGGAGTGTTGTCGACTTGTTCATTTATTTATTTCTGTAATCTGACGAAGCATGTTGCGGACAATAACATGTACTTTTAGGTTAGGAATATTAGTCTCTTGTCGACAACTCGCGGCTGCTAATTGGGCATACACTATTTACCCTACTGATGCATAAAATAAAACTTATTTCGATACATGAAATAAAACATTTCAAATCTGTGTGCCCATAACACAGTAGAGAAACCTAACTTAAAGTTACTGAATATGATTATGTACCTTTATTTATTTTATTAAGACTACATACGTTAAACAGTAATTTATGATTCACAGGTCGGTTTAGTCATAGAAATGCCGGGAAATTTTAATTCAGTATGCGGCTCATCTATGCTCAGTAATACGAGGTCTCTCACAGCTGCTCACTGCTGGTTCGATGGATCTAGACAAGCATTATCATTCACACTGGCCTTTGGAACTACCACTGTCTTCGTTGGTGGTGTCAGAGTACGCACCACAAACGTACAGATGCATGAAAATTGGAGTCCAATAAATTTTAGCAATGACATAGCTATAATTACCCATAACTGGGTCACATATACCAGTAAGTATTTTACAGTTATTTTATTTTATAACTCGAACATATATTCTTCTTCTCTAATTTCTCTTCTTTCATTTTTCAACTCACTAAAATGCTGTATTATAATGATTACGATGATATATTATAAATCCCAATTCTTCTGGCATTAAAAATCCCGAATGTTCTTTCAGACGTTATTCAACCAATCGCTTTACCATCTGGATCTCTTCTTGACAACGATTTCGTTGGGTTCTGGGCACAAGCTTCCGGTTATGGAAGAACCGGTGACGGTACGTCGTTTTAATCTTTTTTAAAGCAAGTATTTTAGCAAGTATTTGTAGGCAGCGGCTTGGCGCTGCCCCTGGCATTGCTGTAGTCCATGGGCGACGGTAACCACTCACCATCAGGTGGGCCGTATGCTCGTCTGCCTACAAGGGCAAAAAAAGAAGCTTCAAATTCAAAGACAAATTTATTTTAGGGAACCTAGCTAATGAGCTTTCGAAAGTAGATAACTGTTGCAATACCATTAATGAATTTTCAGGACCTCTCCATGACCTCACATCAAACCAGATAATGAGAGAGGCAACCCTCCGAGTAATTAGCAACAATGAATGTAGAAGTTTTTTTGGATCTGTCGTCCGGAATACTGTTCTCTGTACAAGCGGAGCTGAAGGTCGCAATGTTTGCAGCAGCGACTCCGGCGGACCTCTATCCATTATCGACAACAACCGGAGAGTATTGGTGCGTTACGTGTAGTAAATACAGAAATCGGAAAGACCACATAAAAAAAAACGATAATTGATTCCATGGATTATTTAGTTAAAAATAGTTGAATACTGCTTAGATTATTAACATAACAGTCTAGTCACATGTAACAAATACCAACAAAAGCTGTGTGATGTTGTTGCCAATTTGACAACTACTAGGAGGATTAAAAAATAGTGAGAATGAGATAGAATATAATGACTATTGATAACTTAAAAATTTATTTAGTCTCAGTCTCTCTACACACCAAGTCCAGCGCTTTTCCAGCGCTTTTTTATTTTTACTGCTTTAATGGGTGGACGAGCTCACAGTCCACCTGGTGTTAAGTGTTTACTGGAGCCCATAGACATCTACAACGTTTATGCGCCACCCACCTCGAGATATAAGTTCTAAAGTCTCAAGTATAATTACAACGGCTACCCCACCCTTCAAACCGAAACGCATTACTTTTTCAAGACTGAAATGGGAAGGCTTCAATCTCTTTCAAAGAAAAAGTTTTGTCTTGGTCCTGCAAAAAGCTCTCCACGGCAACCATCAACTCGTTGTTGTCTTCGTACCTGTTTCCCCTTAAGTATTCTTTTAACCTGGGGAACAGATAAAAATCGCTAGGCGCCAGATCTGGTGAATAAGGGGGGTGTCAACCAATTCGAAGCCAGCTTTGCTGAATGGCAGCCGTTGCAACTGCCGACCTGAGCGCAGGTGTATTGTCATGATGAAACAGCACGCCCCTTTGAAGTTTCCCTCGCCTTTTCTCTTTGATGGCATTCCTCAATTTGGAAATTAAAGCTGCATAATATTGGCCTATAATAGTGGTTCCACGCTCCAGGTAATCAATCAACAATATCCCTTCTGAGTCCCAAAATATTGAGGCCATAACGTTGCTAGCCGATGCCACGACACGAAACATCTTCGGGGTCGGTGATGATGGCCGTTTCCATTGCGAAGATTGCTGTTTTGTCTCGGCATCAAAATGATGGACCCATGTTTCATCCATTGTTACGAAACGAGACAAAAAGATTTCGGAATCTTCTTGAAACTAGTCCAACAATATCTTCGAAATGTCAAGTCGATTTTGTTTCTGACTGTCGGTTAACATTCTCGGCACCCATCTTGCGGAGACTTTTCTCATATTCAAAGATTGTTTCAACATGGATTCAATACTACCATATGAAATGCCTGTTTCTAGTATTAAGTATCGGATGGTAACTCTTCGATCGCTCAATACAATTTTCTCGACTTTCGCAACATTTTCTTGGGTGACTGAAGTCGATGGACGGCCGCAACGTTGTTCGTCTTCCGTGCTCGTTCTCCCTACTCGAAATTGAGAAGCCCACCTTGGAGTGGAAGACGGCGGACCAGACTCTCCTAATGTTGCCTCCAAATCGCAATGAATATCTTGCGTCGTTAGCTTTTTTAAACAGAGGTATTTAATAACGGCACGCACTTTGTTTTTCTCCATTTTCGAGAACACGTTCCGACACGAAGCAAATAAATGACTACATTCAGAAAAAAACAGGTTTCTTTCATGATTAATTTACAGATATGTATCTGAGCTACGGCTGCCAGTATTTTTTTTTTCTTAATAAGGAGTATGTCGTTCTCACTACTTTTTGATCCCTCCTCGTATATGGAAAAAGTATCTATATATTAATACGTGAAGCAAAAACTTTGTACCCCTTTTTACGAAAATTGCGCAGATGGAGGAGTATGGAATTTTCCACACTTATCGAGAATGTCGAGAAGGAGTGCACAATGCTTTTTTTTTAATTATCCATAAAAGTACATTAAATCAATAAAAAAAACATTACACTCACTACCATGTATTTGACACACACACGCATATATACTCTTTTATTTATTGTTGAAGTCTGTTGTCAAATTGAGAATACCTAGATTAATATGGTTTGTCTTTAATATTATTTGTCTATAGTGTAGTTTTGGCGAAATCTGTGATTACAGAAGTATAATAATCTTTGACAATAGAACCATAATAATGTTCAAAATTATAATTTCAATAATTTTAGTCGAATTTCAACTTCTGCGGGACCACTAATTCTAATAATTTGCCAATAAGAGAGATGACTTTTGTCCACTCCAGGCTATTACTCTGGCTAAGTTAGTTAATAGGTAAGGTTTTTGTTGTTGTTTCAGATTGGCGTTGTAATGTTCGGATCTAATCGATGCGAGGGTCGTCTCCCCGGCGGGTATTCTCGCGTTACAGCTTACAACAACTGGATCCGGGCTAGATTATAATTGTAACTAGATAATGATAATAAAAAACCGTTCATAAAAGATAAATGATTTAATTAAATAAATGTGTAGATGCAATTGCCACAAAAATCGAGCAAAGTTATTATTATTTTCCAATATGTACCTATACATATAACAAAATTTGAACCAACAAAATTTGAGAGCAATGTTAGTAGTAGTGTAAAACTGTGACAAAAGTGATTACTTTAAAGGTAGCTTTCTTCGATTAATAATATTGATCGAAGGTAGCTTTAAAGATGTTTCAAATAAATATGTTCCGGTATTAATAGGTTTGATGTGCTATTGACCTATTGACTTTGAATCTTCTATGGTATTTATTAATTATCTATTTTTTCATAAATATATAAAATTATTGACCATTATTGACAAAATAAATAATAGTTTAAAAAAACTAACAAAATACGCTTTTATAAAAAATCCAACTAAAAAATAGAAAATAAATTGTAATAAATTTAAATTAAATACGCTTGTTTACAATAAAATATTTTTTTCCTACACTATTTTTAATTCCCATTTATAAAATTTTCTTTTCTATTTTTTTTTTGGATTTTCTATAAAACCGTATTTTGTTAGTTTTTTTAAACTATTATTTATTTTACATTTTTTAGGTGAATTTCAATTTTCAATATTTTTTTTATTAATTGTCATCGGTCTTAATAAGTACACCAAATTTCGAGTTAATCCGACGTTTTGAAGGGGATCGAAATCATGTTCAAAGATTCCGTTACAAACATACATACGTCTGAAGCTAATAAAAGCGTATTAAAAACAAGTGTATTTACCTAATCTTAACGTTGACATTTTACTGATACTTGCGAAGACGGACGAACCGACTCAAACTTCTCATGTCTAGGTGAGATGTCATTGAGGTCTTCCTTGTTCGTGTTAAACTTCGCACTATAGCATTGCATTAAGTGAAACTATTTGCAACAGAACAAGTTACAACTATGATATCACATCTTGTTTACTGGTGGTGGGACCTCTTGTGAGTCCGCGCGGGTGGGTACCACCACCCTGCCTATTTCTGCCGTGAAGCAGTAATGCGTTTCAGTTTGTGAAGGGTGGGGCAGCCATTGTAACTTAATTGAGACCTTAGAACTTATATCTCAAGGTGGGTGGCGCATTTACGTTGTGGATGTCTATGGGCTCCAGTAACCACTTAACACCAGGTGGGCTGTGAGCTCGTCCACCCATCTAAGCAATAAAAAACAAAATTGACCACCAGAAGTGATACCCTGCTACTAATAAATACTTCATATTAATCGCCTTCCATTAAACAATTTATTAAAAATTCAACAATGTACCTTTTGTTCCCTACCTAATCATTGGTAGCCTGGCTATTCCATTGTTATTCCAAGGGGCTATTCCAACTTCGCGCTCACGGTGAACTCACGGGCTCGACCTGAGAGAATTGCTAACACTAGGCCTAGCAAGGACAGTACTTCGCTGAATCCACTGCCGGGTCGGAATCGCGACCCACTTGGAAGATCGGGCGAGAAACTCAATGGGTTGTGTCTATGGGCTCGTTCGCACGTTGAACTCTTCGTCGGAGTCGACTAGTTCGACGAGGATGGTGACCGGTGCTTGAAGAACCTAAAAGCACCAAGAGTGGTTCCGGGGGATCCGACAAGACATGTTTTGGGCGACGGCGGCTTTGCTTGGCACCGTCGCGTGAGTCGCATATGTAGTTAGCGGTGCCCACGATAGGAGGGCTATTGTTTTTTTTTATTGCTTAGATGCGTGGGCGAGCTCACAGCTCACCTGATGTTAAATGGTTACTGGAGCCTATAAACATCTATGACGTAAATGCGAAACCCACCTTGAGATATAAATTCTAAGGTCTCAAGTATAGTTACAACGGCTGCCCCCTTCAAACCGAAACGCATGCTTCATACTGCTTCACGGCAGAAATGCGCGGGGTGGTGGTACCCACCAGCGCGGACTCGTAAGAAGTCCTACCACCAGTATAGTACCGCATTGTTTTTTAAAGTAGTGTTCCGACGCTTCTCTAAGATACTCACGTATCGATTCTAAATTTAAGGCTTGTGGAAAGTACTAAGCGGTAGGCAGCGGCTTGGCTCTGCCCCTGGCATTGATGACGTCCATGAGCGACGGTAACCACTTACCATTAGGTGGGCCGTATGCTCGTCTGCCTGCACGGGCAATTAAAAAAATTAAAAAAAAAATTGCCGTGAAGATCTACATTCCTCATATGCCACGGTACTCAGACGGCTATCCCGCAAAAACGGGATTGGATGACCTGGAGAGAGTTAATGTGTGTACGGGCCGCGTGAGCGAACACAACACTTGCATAAGTCATGATGGAACGTATGCAAGTTTTTTAGTGTCACCTTTTTATGAAAGGACAATATTTACTTCGGATCATGGGGTAGAGTCGACCGAGTAGGAACGTCGCGTACTGACTTAATGTGGGGACCGAATGTCATCCCTCTGTGGAGGGTGACGTTTAAATACTTAACCTTCAAAGCCCAAGGTATGGGCTAGCTAAAAATTTTTATGGCGGGAATGGAGTCACCATGCCTAATTGATGACGAGATACTATTATAACAGTAATGGAGAGGGCGACCCCTTTTGAAAAGCACGGCTGTGATTTTCGTGGGATTGATGTCAATGCGCCACTTTCGCAACCACTGTCCTAAATCAGTGGCAGCGATCTGGAGTGCATGTACGACAACTTTCTACTCGAGTAGTAGAATCCTACTAAGATGTGCTCCGTGATGCGTTGCACTTGTTGGATGCACGAATGTATGGCGCGGAATCCAAACTATTCGTTTATGAGTATGCCTTTTGAGGTCCCAGAGAAGTTTACGAATCAGTCGATCGTACAGTTTGCCTATCGCTGGGAGGAGGCAAATCGGGCGGTAGCTTATGGTTTCGTTTTTAGGTTTTCCAGGTTTGTGTATACCGATTCTAATACTGATACGAATGCACCGGACGTCTTATCCTTTAGGCCACCACGACTCTGCGGCGCGGGCACGTTTTTTGCCCCGCACGACAGTCGTGAAACCCTCAGACGAGGCTGTAGTAGGAGACTACTCTACCTCCATCTCGGACTCCGACTCGATGCAGGCGATAGAGGATGCGGAGGACGACGTGGCGGTGGGTGGCGATGCGGTCGCGGGCGTCATTTTACTGCAGGTAGCTTTGCGTTCAAATTCCGCGAATTCCACGATAGTTGACTGAGTTTCCGCGCTCATTTTACAAAATTGGCCTCTGGGCTGATGGCTACAGCCGGCTCTTCGAGTCGGCTTCTTCCAAATGTTGGGGGTCCCAATCAGGTAGCGCTACGCCTATACATGGGGATGGTGCGGTCGATGGCAATTTACGGCGCTCCCGTTTGGTGCCGCGCCCAGACCCGCGAGAATGTCGATGTGCTGCGATTTCGGCAACTCGCGATCGCGGTTAGGGCGATCTGTGGATACCGCACCACCTCCTTCGAGGCGGCGCATCTGATCTCCGGGACGCCGAATAGCCACTTATTTCAATGGAGTTGAGGCCTCGCGGTCATCATAAGACATATTCCGTTGCTTATGAGCTATAGTTAGTAGCTTCTTAATGTGATCTTAAGGATAAGACCGACCAATGAACTCGTACCAAGCGATGCGACAATACCGACATTAAAATCTAATAGGCAGCTAAAAAAATTTCTAGTGAAATACATACATAACTCATGTTCATGAATAGCTTGAACGAAGAAGGAAACCCTGCGATAAAAATTCTATTTACGCAAATACCTCCAGTTTCAAGGTCGGGGGTAGCATTCACATACCCCGCGCGCTCCCTAGGCGCGGAGACCTCGTAGGAGGTTTGGCCCCTGGCCCGAAAAAAAAAAGTGGTAACATTCATGATGTCATATTGGGTTCCGATAACGGTTAAGCACCATGTAGGCAGTGAATTCGTTAGCGCGTCTACGCAATAAACCAAAAGAAATCACCTTTTTTTCCTACCTATGCTGATAGACTTGAGAGGTTATATCAGCGTTACCCTAGCATGTAGGTGAGCTCTCAGGATTCAAACCGGAGGTGTTGCTAACACTAGCCCTAGCAAGAGCATGCTTCACAGAATCTACCGGATCGGAAACGCGACCCACTGAGAAGATCCGGCGAGAATCTAAGTGGGCAGAAATTACCGCTTAGTGTAACGTGCAGTCATACTAAAAACGATTCGGAAATCCAAAAGAGGAAACAACAATTTTTATTTAATTAAATTATAATCTACGCTGATATAATCTGATATTGACAGATCGTAAAAAAAAATTATAGATTATTTTTTTAATTAAAAAGATATTTTCGTTTTAAGACTACATAATTTTGGTATTTTTCTTAATTTCGACAATAGTTTTTAACTTTTAACAGGCTTGGTGGTAACAAGAGTATTGTATCGCGCGTAATGGGAAGCCAAAACATGCTGTCCTAAACAATATATTTTGAGACTTCAACTTGGTTTCTCAAATTGGGGGGCGGAATTCACGTTTCTATGTCTATCTTTTTTTTTCTACCTAAGCTGATAATAGTCTTGAGAGGCTATGTCAGCGTAACCTAAGAGGTAGGTGAGCTCACGGGACTCAAACATAGGAGGCGTTGTTAACACTAGCCCTAGCTAGAGCAGTGCTTCGCAAAATCTACCAAAAGATTGGAATCGCGACGCACTGAGAAGATCCGGCGAGAAACTCAGTGGGCTGTGTCTATTGATTAGTTTACTCGCCGAACCCTTCGTCGCAAACGACGGGTTTGATGAGCAGTGTCTTCCAGTGACCACTTGAAACCATGAGGTGCCAATAAAAATCATATCTAACTTAAACCGCATGAGATAAAGGATGGTAAAAACATTACTATTATGTACGTCACCTAACAAAATAATATTTATTGAAAGTACGTCTTTTTTCCCGCGAACTATGCTAATATTGAAGACATTATTCGACTAATTAAATAAATAAAAAAATTGAGTCGCTGCAAGAACTGTTAAATTCATAAAATCATCTTGCACTTGCAATTAGCATCTTCTTAAATGAGTTATTTCGTTTTCTACGTTTTCTTCTTTCTTTCTCATTTTGGAAAACTAACAGTACAACAAATCCACCTATTATAAAAAAGATAGGTAAGCAAAAATCAAACAAGTTTCCATTCCTAACACAACAAATGAGTGGATTTTGAAAAAAAAAAAACCCAATTGAAATTAAGGTTTATACGGAACCATTTAACGACCAAAATCCCGTCTCTTATCAATCAATCATAGATTAATTATAATTTAAATTACGAGTATTCACGATAAGATATTATTTCATATAAAACAATCAAGTGCACGTCGACTTGTCATCTCTCAGGATTTTCACTATGAAGGTGTTACTATTGATTTTTTTGGGCGCGGTCTCGTTGGCGTCGGCGGGTCTTCTTCCAGCCATGCTGCCCTACCATGATACGGTTGGAATTCCTCTGGCAGAAAGTCTCAAGAAATCGGAGGAAGCCCGAGACTTTGATGGATCTAGAATTGTGAATGGAAATCTTGCTCGTTTGGGTGCTCACCCGTACATGGTAAATATTTTCTACCGTATCTGCCGTAAGATTAACCGATAACTGAACTTTTCCTTTAAACTATGTTCGATACTACGCGATCATCAAAACGATAGACGTAACGTTATTGATTTTTCGTTTCAATTACCACTTTGACTGCTGGACTATTTTTAAGGGACTTTCGGCCTAAATATCTTATAGGCCAGTGCCTATAAGGTATTTTCGAGGAAAGGTTGGACTTCGTCACTGTGCGTCTGAGACTGGATAGGCCTCACAAAGAACCGTTATTGGATATACCCATACTCATAGAAATGGGGACATAGTCGTCTCCCGCACCGAGCGAAATAACGCGGTTTTGACTGCCGCACTAGTGGACAGTTGCGCTTGGGGCTTTTTAAACATCAAAGCGCAGCCAACGTGTTACGCCGGCTGTACATGCTCGTCGAGACGATACAGGCCGAGGTCGAGCATGTACATGGCACCCTGGTCTCGTCTCGTGGTTCTCGTTCGCTCTCGGTAGCGAGTCGGTTTTTGCGCTCGAGTCAGTTCGAGTCAATTTATACAACGAGTGTGTAGCACGGCATCACGGGGTGTTCTATGACATTTTGACGTGACAACGTCTTAGGCCCTTCGTACACAAGGCTAGTCAAATCTTCGGTACTCGACGATTTAAGTCTCCAAGCGACTACCGCCATACAAATCCATTGTGGTTCGTACACGAGTCGCGTCGGCGACATTCGTCCCGCGACTCGCGTCGTGCCAATCGCGCGCTACCTGCCTGTCGAGATCTTCGCTACATAAGTCTCGGCGATTTCCAAGATGGCGGAGCAATTTGTTAATATTAAATTTGTTTCTGAGGTGGAAAAATATCCTTGTTTATATAATTAAAAATTAAAAGAATACTCAAAAAAGGAAATAACAGAAAAAGCTTTTCGTAGCCGTAGGAAAGGCAGTTAATATAACAGATTGGTATATTTTTATAGTTTTAAAAATAGTCAGTACATAGTTTTGTAATGAAAAAACACCTTTAGGCAGTATATTATTTTTATTAAGCTTTTGTTTTAGGTATTTACACCAATTTTGTGTACATTTTATTATGATAGCCGATGTCGTAAGCCGGATTGCCGACGCTGTTGTTGTGATCTAGGATTATTATCTAGCGTACCAGATATCCGTATCCACTAAACCATAAATAATACAACAAGTAATATCTGATGTTAAATGAATGCTATATTAATGGTATAGGGACTAAATAGGCAACTCGCGTCTTGCGATTCATTTTCGTGTGTACGGACCGGACCGTGCGCTACTCAATACTCGCGACTTGATACTAATGTCGTTGACAACATTAGTATCGAAGATGTGCGTAGCCTTGTGTACGAAGGGCCTTAGAATTCGATGGAGCCGGCTGCACGCACGAAAAAACATGACTCATGCGGCGTTACCTCGCTCTGATGCGTATTTTCTTATGACGTTGTCACGTTCAACTATCGTCAGTAAACCGACTTTACAGACAACCGACTTTTTGGATTTGTATTGCATTTAGTTGCGTTGTCATTGGATTTAAAGTAAAATTATTTTCCCGTTTCTCCACAATCTATGGTGTATATTTAATTGCAGTAGATGTGCTGACAAGTTGCGCAGTCGGGTCACATGAGGTTGATATCTCATTTGTAATAAATGAATAGGATATTTATACCCAACTGAGCGGATTTTTTTCTGGCCTTAGTAGGCAGACAAGCATATCCATCTATCATTCATTACGTCAGCAAGGCCAGGGGTACAGCCAAGTCGCTGCCAACCACAATCTTACAATATTGGATATTCGGGGTGGTCGTAGCAGAATCGATCGATGGATTGCTCCAAAAACAAATGATATAACACTGTTAGATCCTCTGCACAAAAAAATCATCAATATAAAATATAATCATTTGATTATAATCAAACATACATAGCATCCTTGTATATATTGTATTATATAATTTCCTTTGATTTACTGAATCGCCGATATTTGCTTGCCTTATTTCCTAGTGTTATTAGTTATTTCCTACCATAAGGTTCTTGGTTAATTTGGTCACAATGCTCGGCGGCCACCAGACAACCTTGAAAAATTGGCTGTGGTGGGCAAGGTAGAAGGGACAATACCTGCCAAACCGTTCGTCAGATCAGGTAACTGCGCTCACCGGACTCTCTGTTGCGACCGCCCTGAGAGAAGCCGCAAACTGAACAAAATGGAAGGTGATGGTATAAATAGCCACGAAGGGCTTTCAGGGATACGACCTTAAGCATTGAAGTATGCGACTAAGAAGAAGATTTCCTAGTAATTAGTGATGATAGCAACATTTTTTTTGGGCCAGAAGCCGAACCTCGTACATGGTTTCCGCAGCTAGGTTCCGCCGCGCGGTATATGATGGTAGGTGATGTTAATCCCGACTACTGTGGCACGCGGTATACGAGTTAATTTCCTGATTATCTCATTTTATTTCTTAAGTAATTTTGATAAGGATATTTGTGTGTTTGGAGTGTATGTGGACTTGTTATTTTCAAATCTGCACGCTTTCGATGCCCGTAACAAAGTAGAGAAACCTAACTTAAAGTTATTTAATAAGTTGATACATTTATTTATTTTATTTAGGCTACAGACGTTAAACGGTAATTTATGATTGACAGGTCGGTTTAGTCATAGAAATACGGGGCAGTGCTAATTCAGTATGCGGTTCATCTATGCTCAGTAACACGAGGTCTCTCACAGCCGCTCACTGCTGGTTTGATGGAGCTAGACAAGCATTATCTTTCACAATGGCCTTTGGATCGACCACTGTTTTTGCTGGAGGCGTTAGAGTGCGCACTACAAACGTACGGATGCATGAACAATGGAATCCAAGAAATTTTATCAACGACATAGCCGTAATCACCCACAATCGGGTGGGATATACCAGTAAGTAGTATGTTTTTTTTGTTTTTGTTTAACGCATATAAAATACATTTTTCTCAATCTTTATTATCGGATGACGATATTTTAGTAATGATTTTTAATATATATTCTATCAGTTGGATTTGTCGTTAAAAATCCCCAAATGTTCTTTCAGATGCTATTCAGGCAATCGCTTTACCATCTGGATCTCTTCTTAACAACAATTTCGTGGGGACCTGGGCACAAGTTTCCGGTTATGGAAGAACCGGTGACGGTATGTTTTTTTAAACATTTCTCAAAGTATTTCAACGTCACTTTTATCAATGAACTTGTTTTTGAAGAACTAATGATAAAGAGTCGAAAACTCAGACCACCGACCTGTCGTCATGCAGCTCTGTCGCCCACTCCATGGTGGATTCAAAGAAGCTGGGCACATGCTTAGCTGATGCCGCTCCACCAATCCTCCCCTGCGGCCCGGATTCAACTCCATCCCCCGAGGACACAGTCGAATCCATAAACATCCTTACCGAACACGTCTCGACCGCGATCATAAGGTCTTCGAAACAAGTCGATGTGGAGGACTGCTTCCATCGCATAAGACTTTTCCCCGAGCTTAGGGATCTCTTAAGAGTCAGGAAAACGGGCAATCCGTGCCTACGATCAATATCCCACGGATTCAAACCGGGTTCGGATGCGTCGTCTACACCGGGAGGTCAAATCCCGCTTAAGCGACGCCCGAAATGAGAATTGGGATAGTTACTTAGAAGAACTCGCGCCCACTCACGAAGCATACTGGCGACTAGCTAGGACCCTCAAGTCCGAAACTATCGTCACTATGCCGCCTCTGGTACGCCCCTCAGGCCAACCACCGGCTTACGATGACGATGACAAGGCAGAGCTGCTGGCCGATGTACTGCATGAGCAGTGCACCACCAGCACTCAGTACGCGGACCCCGAACACACCGAGGTCGAGCGCAGCAGAGCAGAGCAGAGCGTTACCCCCCATTACCACTTCCGAGGTTAAGGAGGCGATCGCTAACCTGCAACCACGGAAAGCTCCCGGCTCCGACGGCATCCGCAATCGCGCGCTAAAAATGTTACCAGCCCAACTGATAACAATGTTGGTCACCATCTTAAATGCTGCTATGACGAGCTGCATCTTTCCCGCGGCGTGGAAAGAAGCTGACGTTATCGGCATACACAAGCCGGGCAAACCGAAGAACGAAACCTCGAGTTACCGCCCCATCAGTCTCCTCCCGGCGATAGGCAATCTATACGAACGGCTCCTTCGTAAACGCCTCTGGGACTTCGTCGCGTCCAATAAAATATTAATCGACGAGCAGTTTGGGTTCCGCGCCAAACACTCGTGCGTCCACCAAGTGCACCGCCTCACAGAGCACATTTTACTAGGGCTGAATATGTGGAAACCCATCCCGACAGGAGCCCTCTTCTTCGATATAGCGAAGGCGTTCGACAAAGTCTGGCACAACGGTTTGATATACAAACTGTATAACATGGGAGTGCCAAACAGACTCGTGCTCATCATACGAGACTACTTCAAAACCGTTCGTTCCGATATCAAGTCGAGGGTACGCGCTCTCGCCCCCGTCATGTTACAGCCGGAGTCCCGCAAGGCTCCGCCCTCTCCCCGTTACTGTTCAGTTTGTATATCAATGATATACCCCGGTTTTCGGAGACCCATCTGGCGCTCTTCGCCGATGACACGGCTATCTACTACTCGTGAAGGAAGAAGTCGTTGCTACATCGGCGACTTCAGACCGCAGCTACCACCATGGGATAGTGGTTCCGGAAGTGGCGCATCGACATCAACTCCACGAAAAGCACAGCGGTGCTCTTCAAAAGGGGTCGCCCTCCGAACACCACGTTGAGCATCCCTCTCCCGACTAGGCGCGTCAACACCTCCGCCTCCGCCATTCGCCCAATCACGATGTACGACCAACCCACACCATGGGCCCCGAACGTCAAATACTTAGGCGTCACCCTCGACAGAAGGATGACATTCCGCCCCCATATAAAGACGGTACCCGACCATGCCGCCTTCATACTAGGACGTCTCTACCCGATGATATGCAAGCGAAGTAAAATGTCCCTTAGAAATAAGGTGACACTCTAAAAAACTTGCATACGCCCCGTCATTACCTATGCAAGTGTAGTGTTCGCTCACGCGGCTCGCACTCACCTAAAATCATTCCAAGTTATTCAATCCCGTTTTGCGGGATAGCCGTCGGAGCCCCGTGGTTCGTCAGGAACGTCGACCTCCATGACGACCTGAACTTAGAGTCCATCAGTAAGTATCTGCAGTCGGCGTCGATGCGCCACTTCGACAAAGCGGCACGACACGAGAACCCTCTCATCATAGCCGCCGGTAACTACATTCCCGATCCTGCGGAAGGAATGGAAAGCAGTCGACGTCGCCCCAAACACGTCATTTCGGATCCTCCCGATCCACTAACGGTGCTTTTAGGTACCTCAAGCACCGGTCACCGTTCTTGTCGAACCCGTCGCTTGCGACGAAGAGCTCGACGAGTAAATTAACCCTCAGACACAACCCACTGAGTTTCTCGCCGGATCTTCTCAGTGGGTCGCGTTTCCGATCCGGTGGTAGATTCTGCGAAGCACGGCTCTTGCTAGGATTCGTGTTAGCAACGTTGTCAGGTTTGAGCCCCGTGAGCTCACCCACTAGTTAAGGTTCCGCTGAAATAGCCTCTCAAGGCTATCTGCTTAGGTAGGAAAAAAAAAAGTCGAAAATATTCACTTTCCTGCATTGCAATAATGGTTTACAGGTTCTCAACACAACATCAGACCAGATCAAGCGAAGAGAGTGGCAACAGTCCGAGTTATTACCAACAATGAATGTAGAAATGCTTTTGGAGCTGTAGTCCGTGACACTGTTATCTGTACAAGCGGATCTGAAGGTCGTAATATCTGCAACAGCGACTCTGGCGGACCTTTATCCATTGTCAACAATAATCGGAGAGTGTTGGTAGGTTACTCGCAGTAAATTTTGCAAATCGGAAACAAAAATATCACGAACATAAAATAAAAGATTGATGTATCTTGTATTGTAGACCGAACTAAAGCTCAATACTGCTTTGATGATTAATAAATCGCAAGCAAAACAACGAAATAAAGTATCTCTTCGTGATAAGAGAATTCTCTTCACGTGGACAGTACTTAGCGGTAGGCAGTGGCTTGGCTCTGCTTTGGTATTGCTGACGTCCATGAGCAACGGTAACCACTCACCATCAGATGGGCCGTATGCTCGTCTGCCTAATATTTTGACAATTATAGAGATAGCCTTCACCATTCCTACATTCGTTCGTCACTGTGTAGTATTCCTCTAGATAAGCTTTTAGTAAGCATCCGTTTTTTTTTTCAGATTGGCGTTGTAATGTTTGGACATCCTCGATGCGAGTCTCGTAACCCTGGCGGGTATTCTCGCGTCACTGCTTACAACAACTGGATCCGGGCTAGATTATAAATTATAATAGAAGATCATGAATAAACAAGTACATGCGATTGCAATAAACCACAAAAGTATTTTGCATAGAGCCTCCAGCTTTTACCTTCAAGTTTTCGGTTATGTAAATTCCTTACTTATGTATACCTAGTCTTGCCATAAATACTGAGACAAAGGAAAAAAAAATCTATTGCAAATAACATTTATTACTTTTACAGTGTGTTAGTTTAATACATAAATATAAAACAATTTAAAGTATAAAAAGCTTATTCGGAGTGGTCTCCATTGAAAATTTTTCACTGCCAATCGTACGGATTGTTTTAGGGACTCCAAATTATCATGGCGTTTAAAGCAAGCCGTACTCTCTAAAACTGACCATAAATCATAATCCAGCGGATTAAGATCGGGACTAGACGACGGCCAGTCTTCAGCTCTGATGAAGTCCGAAACGTTCGTTTCCAACCGAGACTGCGTAGACCGAGCTTTATGATCTGGCGCCGAGTCTTGCTGGAAGGACCATTCTTGATTATTGAACATGGTGTTGTTAAGGGACTTCACTACCTTGTCAAGAATGGTATCTTGATACACTTGTGCCGATGTTTTGATACCTTTTTCACAAAAGTATCGCTCAGTCACTCCTTCATAGCTAATACCCCAACAAACCATCACTGAAGTCGGATAGTGCCCACGTTGCACTCTGGGACTCTAATTGGGAAGCTTCCTTAGAGCTTTGAGCATAAATACGGTCATTTTGATTGTTAAAATGTTGCTCAATTGTAAAAAAATTCTATGACCTCCCTTTGCGTACCGCTTCAGTAGTTGTTTCGATTTTACTACCCTATTCTCTTTTAAATTATCAGTTAAGAAATGACCAGTGCGTCTCTTATAGGCTGCAAGTCCTAAGTCATCTTTAAAATACGCGACATGGTTCTAGGTGCTATGTTCATCTCCCGAGATAAAATATTTTGCTTTCGGACAGGATTTCTTCGAATTCTTTCCCTTACTACTTTGACCACCTTTTTCGTACGAACACTACGTGGACGGCCAGATCTTTTTCTGTCACAAACAGAGGAGGTCTCATTGCACCTATTAATAGCCCGGTACAAAAACATTTTACTAATACCAAGCGTATGGAGAGTTTTAAAAATTGCATTTGGCTCCATACCTACTTTGTGTAATGCAATCATAGCGATTCGGTTCTCTTTATCACCCCACTCCATTTTAATATCGCAAAATATTGTACAATGTATTGGCGCCAAAATGAGAAAACTCAATGAGCAATCATATAAAAATGACAGATTCCAAATTCAAATGTAATATTTTGTTTATTTTTAATTGTAACAGTATTTATGGCCAGACTAAGTATAAACATACCTATAAAAAGTAGCTGATATAATGATCATGCTACAAAAATGGACATTTCACCCCGAACCTTCTTGTCGTTCGAAATACCATTAGTTTATATTAACTCGTCACTACATTGTTCAGCTAGGAACCTTACATTTACACCTGACATTTATGAATAACATTCTTGAACGCAGTTTTGATGGTAAAGAAGAAGAATCGAAATGTAAATCCGTAAAAAGTCAAACGATACAGATCGGGTGGGATCGAATTTTCAGTGTCAAACTATTAGGGACTGCGAATATATCAATCAAAGCACCACACGTAAACCAATCAGCACAGAAACTGAGTAAATGTAAGTTGAATCAAAGTGGGAATGTTGGCAGTCGGATGTTCTCACAGATTGGCACTTTTAAAAACAATTATTGTAAATATAATATGCAAGTCGTATTTTATTTATATTTTTTTAAATATAATTAAATTGATTACTGTTACTAGAATTATTTAGCAATACCCTGGTACAATTATTCTTAAATTATATATGCTCTTAACCACCACCTGATACCAATTGGACAACATTTGACTACAACTGATTACTTCTTTCGATAGTTATAAACATTATAGAATGAACGAATTAAAGCAATAATGAAAGAATGAAAATATTCTAATTACAATATGCGGCCCAGATCATAACGGGACAAGGCATTCGTTTGAAAGGGCGAATTGCCAATTTAAAGTCAAATTTGAACATGAAATTGTGTGTGCCGCAGTAACGATATTATCAGGCACCTTACGTTCGTGAGTATAAATTAAGTTATCTTCAAACATGTGTTTAGGGCATTTCGTTTCCTGCCTTTGTCATGGTTTGGGTACATTAGGAAAATATATGTATACCTAAACAGATTATCTGACATCTCTTTATATATTTGTTAAATAAATAAAAAAATGATAGAATGTGTCGGACACAGTGGGGTGGCATACCGCCTCCCCCTTCGAGCGCGATGTCCTGCAGGAGTCTGTCCTGGGCCCCTTGCTGTGGAGCATCGGCTTCGACTGGGCCCTACGAGGTCTCCTCCCCGGCCTGAGTGTAGTCTGCTTCGTTGATGACACCTTAGTCGTGGCTCCGGGGAGGGATTACCGAGAGTCTGCCCGTCCGGCGAGAAACTCAGTGGGCAGAAATTACCGCTTAGAAATTAACATACAGACATAATGACGAGAACAAAGATTTTTTTGTCTTCTTCAACGTCCAATCATCGCATAAAAAGATAGACGTTTTAAAATATTTTAACGATTTTTGGTCGCAACAATGTACTGCGTAATGATGATCGAACAGATTTTAATCTAATTACATCTCTACTACAAAAAAAAAACAATTTGGAAATCCAAAGGAGAAATCATAAATTTTTATTCAATTGAATTAAAATCTAAACTGATATAATGTCATATTGACAAATCGTAAAAAATTGATGGAATAAATATATTTTTTATTAAAAAATATTTTGATTTGAAAACCACATAATTTTGGTATTTTTCTTAATTTCTACTACCTAAGCTATGCTATTTTTCTTACCTAAGCTATGCTATGCTATATAAGTTAACTATAACCCCGTGTGTCGAAACCTGTGCCAATAAAAATCATACCTAACTAAAACCGCATCGGATGGTAAAAACAATGAATTTTGCCTACTACGTATTATGTCACCTAACAAAATAATATTTATTGAATGTACGTCTTCTTTTTCCACTAACAATGCTAATATTTAAGACATTATTCTACCAATTTCATAAAATAAATTTTTAAGTGGCTGCAAGAACCGTCATATTCATAAAATTATCTTGGATTTGCAATTAGCATCTTCTTATATACAGTATTTTTTCTTCGTTTTCTTATTTTTTTCGCATTTAGGAAACTAATAGTACAATAAGTAACAAGCAACGGTAGGCAGCGGCTTGGCTCTGTCCCTGCCATTGCTGACGACCATGAGCGACGGTAACCACTTACCATCAGGCGGGCCGTATGCTCGTCTGCCTGCTACGGAGGTTTATACGGAACCATTTAACTTTAACTTCTGCCCCGTATCTTATCAATCAATCACGGATCAAGATTTAAATTATTATACGCATATAAACGATACGATAATTAGCATGCGATAAGATATTATTTGATATAAAACAATCAAGTGCACGTCGACTTGTCATCTTTAAGGATTGTCACTATGAAGGTGTTGCTATTGATTTTTTTGGGCGCGGTCTCGTTGGCGTCGGCGGGTTTACTTCCAGCCATGCTGCCCTACCACGATACGGTAGGAATCCCCCTGGCAGAAAGTCTCAAGAAATCGGAGGAAGCCCGAGACTTTGATGGATCTAGAATTGTGAATGGAAATCTTGCTCGTTTGGGTGCTCACCCGTACATGGTAAATATTTTCTACCAATTTTTTTATTTGCGCTAAGATTAATCGATAGCATAAATGTTTATTTTGAAGTCGTCGTGACCTAAAGGATGAGATGTCCGGTGCATTGATATCTAGCGATGTCCTACCTACGATCTTCTCAGTGGGTCGCGTTTCCGATCCGGTGGTAGATTCTGCGAAGCCCTGCTCTTACTACGGCCAGTGTTAGCAGCACTCCGGTTTGAGCCCCGTGAGATCACCTACATGTTAAGGGCGAAGCTGTAATAGCCTCTCAAGGCTATCAGCATAGGTAGAAAAAAAAACTGTACTTACAAGCAGTGTTACGGAGTGTTCTATAACATATTTGGATTTGTAATTGCATTTAGTTGCATTGTCGTTACATTTTCATAAAATGATTTTCCCGTTTCTCCACAATCTATAGTGTATATTTGATTGCAGTAGATATGCTGACAAGTTTGCACTCGGGTCACATGAGGTTGATATCAATTGTAATGCGGCTGTCCTACCTCAAAGGCTTTGGCGCATAAATGGATAGGATATTTATACCCAACCGAGTGGTTTTTTTTCTTGCCTTAGTGGGCATATGAGCACATCCATCAAACGTTCATGGACGTCAGCAAGGCCAGGGGTACAGCTAAGTCGCTGCCAACCACAATCTTACAATATTGGATATTGTAAGATTCGAGGTGGTCATAGCAGTATCTTTTGATGAATTGCTCCAAAAACTTATGTTATATAATAAAACTGTTAGAGCCCCTGCACCAAAAAAATCATTAATATGTAATCATTTGATTATATCAAAGGTATCTTTGTATGTATTGTATTATTTAAAGTTTCAAATGATTTAATCAACCTCCGATATTTGATTGCCTTAATTCCTAGTGATTAGTGATGCTAGCAACTTTTTTTGGGGCCAGAAGCCGAACCTTCTGTATGGTTTCCGCGTTTAGGGACCACGCGGTTTGTGATGGTAGGTGATGCTAATTCTGATTCTGTGGCACGCGATACCAGTTAATTTCCTGATTCATTTCATTTCATTTTTTAAGCACTTTTGAGAAGGAGATTTGTGTTTTGAGAGTGTAAGTGGTATTCTTCTCAACTTTGTACGCTTTCGATGCCGTAACAAAGTAGAGAAACCTAACTTAAAGTTATTTAATAAGTTGATACATTTATTTATTTTATGTAGGCTTTTTTTTGAGTCGGAGTCCGATCTTCCAATGTACCTACCTACTGTGGCACACGGTACGATTTCATTTCCTGATTCATTTCATTGCATTTTCTAAGTACTTTTGATAGGGATATTTGTGTGTTGGGGGTGTTGTCGACTTGTTCATTTCAAATCTGTATGCCCATAACACAGTAGAGGAACCTAACTTAAGGTTACTGAATATGATTATATGCCTTTATTTATTTTATTTTATTAAAACTACATATGTTAAACGGTAATTTACGATTCACAGGTCGGTTTAGTCATAGAAATACGGGGCAGTGCTAATTCAGTATGCGGTTCATCTATGCTCAGTAACACGAGGTCTCTCACAGCTGCTCACTGCTGGTTCGATGGAGTTAGACAAGCATTATCATTCACAATGGCCTTTGGAACAATCACTGTTTTTACTGGAGGTGTTAGAGTGCGCACCACAAACGTACGGATGCATGAAAATTGGGATCCAAGAAATTTAATCAACGACATAGCCGTAATCACCCACAATCGGGTGGGATATACCAGTAAGTAGTATGTTCTTTTTTTTCGTTTTTGTTTAACTCATTTAAAGTACATTTTTCTCAATCTTTATTATCGGATGACGATCTTTTAGTAATGATTTTTAATATATATTCTATCAAGTTGGATTTTTCGTTAAAAATCTCGAACGTTCTTTCAGATGCTATTCAGGCAATCACTTTACCATCTGGATCTCTTCTTAACAACAATTTCGTTGGGACCTCGGCACAGGTTTCCGGTTACGGAAGAACCGGTGACGGTATGTTTTTTAAAAATTTCAATGTTACTTTTATCAATGAACTTGTTTTTGAAGAACTAACGATTGACAACCGAAAATATTCAATTTACTGCAATGCATTAATGGTTTACAGGTTCTCAACACAACATCCGACCAGATCAAGCGAAGAGAGTGGCAACCGTCCGAGTTATTACCAACAATGAATGTAGAAATGTTTTTGGATCTATGGTCCGGGACACTATTATCTGTACAAGCGGAGCTGAAGGTCGTAATATCTGCGGCAGCGACTCTGGCGGACCTTTATCCATTGTCAACAATAATCGGAGAGTGTTGGTAGGTTACTCGCAGTAAATTTTGCAAATCGGAAACAAGAATATCGCGAACATAAAATAAACGATTGATGTATCTTGTATCGTAAGACCGAACGATAGCTCAACACTGCTTAGACGATTAATAAATCGCAAACAAAACAATGAAATAAAGTATCTCTTCATGATAAGAGAAATCTTCACGTGGACAGTACTTAACGGCAGGCGGTGGCTTGGCTCTGCTCCTGGTAATGTTGACGTCCATGAGCGACGATAACCACTCACCATCAGGTGGGTCGTACGCTCGTCTGCCTAATAGGGCAATAAAAAAATGTGACGTCTTCTAATATTTTGACAATTAGAGAGATAGCCTTCATCTGTTCTTCATTAGCTGGTCACTCTGTAGTATTCCTTTAGCTAAGCTTTTAGTAAGAATGTTTTTTTTTTTTCAGATTGGCGTTGTAATGTTTGGACATCATCGATGCGAGTCTCGTAACCCTGGCGGGTATTCTCGCGTCACTGCTTACAACAACTGGATCCGGGCTAGATTATAAATTTTATTAGAAAATCATGAATAAACAAGTACATGCGATTGCAATAAACCACAAAAGTATTTTGCATAGAGCCTCCAGCTTTTACCTTCAAGTTTTCGATTACGTATAAACATACATACCTATAAAAAGTAACTGATATAGTGATCATGTTACAAAAATGGGCATTTCACCCCGAAACTTTTTATCGTTCGAAATACCATTAGTTTATATTAACTCGTCACTACATTGTTCAGCTAGGAACCTTACATTTATGAATAGCATTCTTGAACACAGTTGCGATGGTAAAGATTTATCCATGCAGAATCGAAATGTAAATCCGTAAAAAGTCAAACGATACAGATCGGGTGGGATCGAATTTTCAGTGTCAAACTATTAGGGACTGCGAATACATCAATCAAAGCACCACATGGAGTGGAGGATAAAGGCCCTGATTTTCGATAAGCTCAAAATTTAACTATTTATTTTCTATTTTGTTTTGTAGCCCATGTAAACCAATCAGCGGAGAACCATAGAAACTGAGTAAGTATAAGACGAATCAAGGTGGGAATGTTGGCAGTCGGGTGTTCTCACAGATTGGCACTTTTAAAAACAATTATTGCAAATATAATATCTTCTATATCGTTTTTTTTTATTGCCTAGATGGGTGGACGAGCTCACAGCCCACCTAGTGTTAAGTGGTTACTGGAGCCCATAGACATCTACAACGTAAATGCGCCACCCACCTTGAGATATAAGTTCTAAGGTCTCAAGTATAGTTACAACGGCTAACCCACCCTTCAAACCGAAACGCATTACTCCTTCACGGCAGAAATAGGCGGGGTGGTGGTACCTACCCGTGCGGACTCACAAGAGGTCCTACCACCAGTAATTACGCAAATTATAATTTTGCGGTTTTGATTTTTATAACACGATGTTATTCCTTCACCGTGGAAGTCAATCGTGAACATTTCTTAATTACGTATTTCATCAGAAAAATTGGTACTCGCCTGCGGGATTCGAACACGGGTGCATCGCTAGATACGAATGCACCGGACGTCTTATCCTTTAGGCCACGACGACTTCAAAATTCTAATTACAATACGCGGCGCAGTTCATAACGGGACACGGGATTCGGTTGAAAGCGCGAATTGCCAATTTAAAAGTCAAATTTGAATATGAAATTAAGTGTGTGTGTGTCGCAGTTACGAAATTATCGAGTACGTTCGTGAGTATAAATTAAGTTATCTTCAAACATGTGTTTAGGGCCATTCGTTTCCTGCCTTTGTCGCTGTTTGCGATATTAAGATGCCATGCGGCGAGGTTCGAATTGAATTTGTCTTTTTTGTAGACCACCACCACCACCACACAAAAACCTTCCATAGACGCAATCCACTGAGTGGGTTCACAGTGAGTCGGTATTTCGATCCGGTAGTAGATTCAGCAAAGGACTGCTCTTTCTAAGATCAATAGGATCAATATTAGCATTTCTGATATGTTGAACCTACCGGTCCGGGCGTGGTTGGAATAGCCTCTTAGGCTACCAATGATTAGGTATGGATTTTTTTTTATTGCTTAAATGGGCGGACGATCTCACAGCCCACCTGGTGTTACGTGGTTACTGGAGCCCATAGACATCTACAACGTAAATGCGCCACCCACCTTGAGATAAAAGTTCTAAGGTATACAGCATAGTTACAACGGCTGCCCCGCCCTTCAAACCGAAACGCATTACTACTGCACTTCAAAAATAAATAAATTGCATACTCTCAGGATGAAGACAATTTTAACGGGGATCATCTTTAAACCGAAACGCGTTACTGCTTAATCTGGCTTAAAAGAAATAGATAAAAATCTGCTCAACTATAAAATCTTATTGAAATAGCCGGCCTATCAAATTATGCTCTTCGAGTCTCTTAATTAAACATTTTCAAGAATAATTTACGCATTTACTCAACCTGTGATCGATTCACTAAACTATCTCCTTGTGACTTTTGTGATGTGTTCATATTTTGTTTGGTGATAATTTAAATTTAACTTCATCCTTTTATTACGTAAGCTGTAATTATATAGCATTCACTAAGCTGAAAATGTGTTTATTATGTGAAGAAATCTATAATCTATAATAATAATACTATAAAGAAGAAAGATTTGTTTGTTTGTTTGTATTGAATAGGCTCCGAAACTACTGATCCGATTTGAAAAATTATTTCACTGTTTAGAAGCTACAATATTCCCAAGTGACATAGTAACATAGATCTTTTTTGAAAAATTACCTAAAATATTTTTTACATCGCGCGCCCTGCTAAAACTATTCATGATAAAATAAAATAATGTACTAAGACTTTGTAGAACACATTATTATTTACAAAAAGTGTCGCACAGCATATGTCTAACTATTATAGTTATGCCGCAATAAGTGTTCTTTTATTTAATAAAATAAAACAACGTCAAATATCGTTGAAATTTTTGTTAAAGATCCGAGCGGAGCCGGAGCGGGCCGCTAGTGATAAAATATAGTACATTGTGCACCAAGGCAGAAAAGTAGGACATTTCACTCATGCCCATACTCATAAAAAAACAATTTAACTGTTTTTTAATTTTTAAGTAAACTACTACTAATTGAATAAGAACTGTCTGATGAACTCATATTTGTTTAATACTTCGCTATTAAATTTTATTGCAAATTACTCGAGCACAATAATGGCGGAGAATTTTAGGTGCGTGAGAGCAGACGTAGACACTAACGCGCATGCGCACTTGTCAGTACCCAGGGAGGAAAAGTTACACTTTCTTCCCTGTACAGCGGGAGGGAAACCGAGCTTTTGGAGTGGGTAGGAGAAAAAAGTTATTTAAACTGGATCTTACCTGTTCGTCAAAAGGACTGAGTATGGACAGCGATTTATCCCCGCTATGCGTTGAGCTGGTGGTGTTGCTCCTTCTTCTGACTTCGTCTTCGACACCGTTGATGTTCCTTTCGTGGGCCTGTCCATTGCTGGTCAGGGTCGCCGTGTGGATGACCGGCGGCTCTGTCGGCGAAGCGTCGTAAACTGATTTCAGTTTTCGCAACGTTTTCGGCCTCTCGGCTGGCATCGGCCGAAGACCGATCCCGTCTAGCGTTGTCGTGGAGCCTTTGAAGAGGCCTGGTGACCAAAAACAAGAAAATTACATCAACTCCGAGACATAATATCGACGCTTGAAAGGCAAACGTGACTAAGCGACAATAACTGCTTGGTACATAAATAATAGGCAATAACCATATTCGATGCGCAAAAAATATATATTTCTAGGTCTATTAAAATCATTTCAATCCTACAGCTAGATTCGTTAAAATAGAATTTTTTTCAGGTATTTCAACTTTAAATTAGTCTACTGTAAAGTTCACGCATTGTCGCTTAGTCACGTTTGCCTTTCAAGCGTCGATATGGATAAGCTCGAGTTAGTGTAGTATTTTATATCATATCGTCTTCTCGCATAAAAACTGTATAGTCTCAAAACTTACTAATTTCACAGGAGAGTGTTTTAAAGGTTTAACATATAATATTTTCAATGTTAATCATATTTGCAACATTTATTTTTAATTTTTTACCAGTTATATTATCTTTCCACCCAATGTTAAATGACTATCGGAGCCCATAGGCATCACAACGTGAACATCGCCACCATCTTGAGACATGAGGTCGAACCGACACGTATGTCTGCTTCACGGCATAAATAGGCAGAACGGTGGTGGGGGCTTTCATCCTTTGTCATTTTGCTTTAATCGTCATTATATCAAACAGTTTGCTTAGTGCGAGTTTTTTAACGTTCTCGATAACGTAAAAGTTAACTCAAATTTACATGGAGTTGGAATGTTTGCCTACGTTTGTCGCCAGGGACGGTGTTCCAATTACATACAAATTCGCGTTAACTTTTACGCTATCGAGAACGTTAAAAACTCGCACTAAGCACACTGGTGACATAACGATAAAAAAAGGTTTTTAAGGATAAAATCTCATTACAATAACGTAAATAATCGATGAAGGAAAAGAATTCAAACAAAAAAAAAACAATACAATACAATACAATAGAATAAAAGTGAAAACCGTATCAACAGATCAATCGGCAACGGTGCCAAGGTTTCGCTTACGGCACCAACAAACCGGTCTCCAGTCATACAAGGCTGCGTGAACCGATAGATGGTTCATTGACTATGCACAACAGATACTGTCCAATTAGATAGATAAGTTACTTTAGATAGTTTTTATTTAGATGGATGCGTGAACTCCCAAGAATGTTTTATTTTTTCCTACCTATCCTAGTAACGTCGAGGGGTTATTCTAGATTCACCGAACTAGTAGGAGAGCTCACGGGGCTCAAACCGGAGTGTTACTAACACTGGCCCTAACAAGAGTAGTGCTTCGCAGAATCTACCACCGGATCGGAAACGCGACCCACTGAGAAGATCCGGCGAGAAATTCAGAGGGCTTTGTATATGGGTTAATTTACTCGTCGAGCCCTTCGTCGCAAGCGACGGGTTCGGCCAGGACGGTGACCGGTGCTTGAGGTACCTAAAAGCTAACACCATTAATGGATCGGGAGGATCCGTAATGACGAGTTTAGGGCGACGTCAACTGTTTACCATTCGGTCCACCGGGTCATGTTAGTATCTATTTAATGTAATGGAATCTTTGAACATGATTTTGACTCCGTTCAAAAGGTCGGATTAGTTATTAACTTTCGGCAGTCAAAACAACAAATTTATTTGAGCGCCTTCTTTTTTTCACTTAGCAAATTGAAAACTGTTGTATTTGCGTGAATGTACAATTGTACATTAATTATTCATTTTTGATACATAATGCTACTTAAACAAAAAAACGAAAAATAACTAGAACTAGTTTAAAAAAAAAAAAGACACGCTTTTATAGAAAACACAACAAAAAAAAAAAATAGAAAATTAATTTATTGTAAAAAAGCGTGGTAACGTTTATATGCTAAAAAAATAACCATTAAAATACCTCTTACGCCAATTAATCTAATTTTTTTTAACAATGGGTCTAAATCGATAAAATTCTATCTCAAACAACAAGACAATTCAAGTCGGTTCACAAACAACGAATATTAAAACATCCTTCTTCTTTTCAAATCGGCTAAAAGTACTCCAAAGTCAAGCTCTACGACTACCTATATGTATACCCAGACCGTATAGAAAGTGATAGTGGTACAGTAAACAAAAGCAGGAACAATGCATAATTGTGGCCTTTTGTAGCGTCATTAACTACTAACGACCTTATTATGACTGCGTGTAAACTAGACGATTCACGGATATGTTTATATGTATCATAACATTCACAACAGGCCGCCTGAAGGGAAATTTCAATGGATACTCACGGATATCAGCAATACTAGGAACACATAGTCGCTACCCGCCACATGGAAGCGTGTTTGAAAACTTAGATGCAATCTATCAGTGCGTAATACGCCTTACGTTATAAAAATATATGACTGTCTTTAGTCACCATATTTAAGTTGTGACTAAACTGATCCCGCAGTCAAACCGAAGCGCAGATTTCTGGGACTTATTTTTTACAATACGTGTCGAAAAACTACGAGTATAAATTACTAATTGACCAATCTCATATAAAGCCAGCGACAGTCTACCGGCCATAACGACGGTCATATGCTGAATAATAGGAATCTTAATTTTTTTTTACAGTTTTTATAAAATCACAATCATTCGGGTTTAATTTTTTTTTGCCTGCGTATTCTGGTAGCCTCGACGGATTATACCACCAGCTCATCGTACGTCTAGACGTGCTCACGGAGCACAGCCAAGCGAATTCGCTAACACTAGCTTGCTAGCTAAAAAAAAATTGTATTGTTGTAAATTACATTTGTGAAAAATATATCTATTTAAATGTAACTGTCCCAAAAACGAAATCAGTTTCTCGTTACCCTATGTAATTTGAAGTCACGAAATTGCCAAAAACTTAAACAAGCACACAATCCTTGAATTTATAGATGACACACGTATGTATGTACATATGTATGTATCCAGTATTATTAGTGAAACAACGTGTTCGACGTTAAATGATGGACTGAGTATTATATATTTAATTTTATGTATTCATCCAAGGTGGCAGCTCTAGGCACTATTGTAGGTATCTTACAACAATATCTATTCTAGATATACAAAAATATATCATTTAAATATACTACAATAATATTATTTTCCACTTCGCTTTAAAAATTGCTATTCTTTTTTTTCCTATATTTGTGGACGAGCTCACAGCCCATCTGGTGTTAAGTGGTTACTGGAGCCCATAGACATCTACAACGTAAATGCGCCACTCACCTTGAGATACAAGTTCTAAGGTCTCAAGTATAGTTACAAAAAAAAAAAAAAAACAATCGCGCGTTACGTATCGCACGTTGTCGGAATTTTGATCTACGCTGCGGTAACCAAGAAAAATGTATAAAATTTCAATCGAATCAAATAAACTAGACGCACAGAACACTTACAAACCAATCTACAAATATTTAAGATCGATATGTAAGATAAATCAAAACTATTTAAGGTATTTGGCTATTTAAGCAAGCTTCGCGATAGCTATTTTATTAGGGAACTTTAATTATTCGACGCATAAGCTTTGTTGGTTCGAGTATTGTTAGGACGTGCATAATTAGAAATAGTTTAGCCTATATATTTTATAATTTTAAATTAACATTATACCTTGACAGCGTAACTAAGACAATCATAGAGAAGTTGCTCACAGAACTTTACCTTATTAAGAAGTATAAAAAATTCTAAGTAAATCATTGCCCCCTTGTATATAAATAGTTCTCTCAAACTACATTCTGAGTCAACAACAAGTCGAATATACCCTAAATTGAAGCTCATACAAAAAAAATGTTTATAAAGTGACATTGTCATTGATATTTGAATTGCATAAATTTGTTAACATGTAACAATCGCGTGCTTAATAGATTCGTCGACACAAAAAAAGTGTTAAATCTGTAGTGTTTAAATAAAATCATCACATTCAAACATTGACACTAAACTATCATAAACGAGATAAGCTTTATTGCGGATGCCGCATCGTCTTTCTTCATTAGAAAATAACATCATATATCAATAACATTATGATTCCATAAATTTACAATTACCTACACGCTAGTGGTGTATTGTTACAATCTGATAATATGCGGTCCAATTCATACGGAGCTAGTGCTAATAAACCAAGTCCTCATGTGACCCAATAGTGGTATTCCTTGCCTTGTTTAATTACTGAATCCTGTTACAATTTCATAGTCTAATTGGTCTGTCACTGACATTACTAAGTTGAGCTGGAGTTAGCTAAGGTTCGGACGTTTTTTGTAACCCTCTTACTCTGCCCGGATTTTGACCCTGGACGGAGATCGGATATCGGGTGCAAAGGGAGTTGTTTGGTGAATAAATTCTTAAGATCATCAGACACGCGATCCGGTCCCGATATCTCAAGACCCGCATACTCCGTGCGCTCTTTGGGCGGAGAAACCTTATGTATGAGGTTTGGTCAGAGCTCCCGAAAAGTTTTAGTCTTATTTTATGACACTTTTATTAGCTTGACCTGTAGCTGTCCACTATAACGGACATGACGTCAGCTGCCATGCCCTGCCAACAGCCAAAGTCAACGAGGGGGGATAGTGTTAATAAAAAAAGCCATGCCAACCATTTCTACCCACTTTTTCTCACAAATAAAAGAACTTGTCGTTACGCTGCTGGTTTTTCTGTCGCATCATTTACAACACTACCCAAAGGAATATTCCTAATATAAGCAATTTTCATAAACTTCAAGACTTTAAAATCTATCTGCACATGTATGTCATATCAAGGAGCGAAGACAACATTAGAATTGTATTACTTTTGCCAAATATCCTGACCAGAATCAGAAAAAAAAACAAAGATTAACTTACTTTCAATTCGGATTGCTGTCAAAGAACCATATTTTAACATGTAGGTCATCGGTGCCCTACGCGGCGCTTTGAAGTAATTATGTCGATTTCTATTACTAAGCCTCTGGATTGCCTAACTTTACCTTCTTTCGTTTTTAATGTTTGATTTCGACTTTTAGGTTTCTCAGAAATTGATTCATTCCCAGTATATCCGAATTTCAGTCTACCA